TTGAAAATAAATTATTTTTTCTCTCACTAATCCAAACATACCATTGAGCACTGAGTTTTTTTTAATTACTGTCATTTTTTAAATGACTTTGAGTATTGAGTATTTTTTTCTAATAAAAATAACCTTGATCTGGCCCCAGAATTCTGAACTCCGTTATTCATTATCCTTCTCAGGTCATATTCCACACCTAATCCCATCATCCCCGCTTTCTATAATAATTTTTTTTACCACTTTTTCTAAAGTAATTTGGATTTTTGAACATCACGATAGATGTTGCTTGGAGATGGGGGTAAATGTTAGTGAAGCGTGGTTGAGTCTAGAACTGTCTTGTAGTTAATTCTTAGAAACAGATATGAGATTGCCATCATGTTTCCTGAAAGAACTTATTCCATGAAAAGTTTTCTTTTCCACTCCTCTAATCAACTCCTCCTTCCCTCTTCCATCTTTCTCTTTATTCTTCCAGGAATAAAGTACGATTTTGTTACCATAAAAGTTGGGCTTTCTTTTTGAAAAATATTGAGTTTTCCGCAACCAAAAAAAAAAAAATCTAACAACAGGAAAATAATTATTCGTGAAAGCATGGGCTAGCTGGAGATGGTGAGCTAAAAGCTACCGCTGAGTAAAATTGCACACAATTGGGTGACAACAATAAGCAGCAGATATCCTTTTCCTTTTACCTGCTCACGTCTTTACATCTAATCCCCTACTCAAGAAAATTTTCTCATTATGATTATCACAGTCACAACTATAGGTCGTCACATGCCCACTCACAATGCAAGGTTTCATACCTGATGATACTAAACTATAGGGTTTTCCGCCTCTCATCCAACACTTAAGATCTCAACTAACTTGTGCTCTGAAAGTTTCTGCAGAATTCTTCAAAAATAATTCTCCTGCTACATTCAGGAGAACTCAGAAAAGTGACTAATTATATATATATATATATATATATATATATATATAGCCGGCAGAACCACAATGGTGATCTAAACGGATCACAGTAAGGCATGGCTGAAATAAGTGCATGTTAAAACCAAGGCTTTGAGATGGCACCTAAGAATTTTATTTATTCACATACACACGTGTGTGTAGTTGCTGCACTAGATAGGACAAAAGGAGCGATCAAATAGGCAGCACATGGGAACCATCCAATTCTGAGGGTATCTTAGGAGAAGTAGAACCTTTACTAACATAGCATGCAACTATGGACAATCACTAAGCACCATTCATATTCCCAAACCCTTTAATGCAAAAAAAAACTCTACATAACTCTAGCGTACAAGTAACTTTTAACGTCGCATCCTCATTTAATTATATATGGAGGGAGGAAATTGTGTTGGGGGGAGACAAAAAGGAAGAAAAGACAATATATAATGGGAAGATCGAATCTCTACAAACAGGGGGTTAGATTAGGTGGATTTCAGCTCTCCAATTTTGTGATAGAAATGGAAGAAAAGACAATTCTATGGTTTGGGAAGCAATATGGAAGGTTGGTGTGAGAGTTCAGCTTCAACACTGGCGGGTCAGCGCAGAATTTACACAAAACCTATTAAAAGAACTTTACATTTTGTCATTTTTGTGTGTGGAACTTCATAACAAAAGATGCTTTCTTGTAGAAAGGAAATATAAAACTTGGCGACACCGTGAACTCTAAGCTTCAAAACTGGTTGTACTTCATTGTGCAGGTAACATTGAACAGTTGAACCGGTGAATTATCTTCAGTAAATGTCAGGGACAAGACACTGCCAAGGCATAACAGAAGATTTGGCTGGCCATAATTAGACCTAGTTAACTCCCCTAATTGTCATTCTTCTACGGATTATTCTCACTGCTCAAAGGAGGTTATTACTTTTAATCCAACATTATCTCCAGTTACCGCAATTTTTTAATCTTTTCCTCCTTCATGTATTGGTTCATTTTACCATAACAAAAGAACGGGGCATGGCCCCGCAGAGATAACAGATAAGGGCATTTTTTATCTCCAATCACACACAAAGGGCTTCTGCAAGTCGAGGGATTAAGATATTATTAGTGTACAAAAATGGTGGAAAGTGGAGTTTGAAAAAGAAAACATATTAGTGGAAACGACAAAAGAATTTTGTCATTGATCTATTTTAAATTAAACTACATTAGTGGAGGGTTGATCTGTAAAGCTACAGGAGGGAGAGAAGAGGGAAGAATATGATGAATGAGGAGTGAGAACATATAATTGGTTCAAAGGAAGCTGACATGGCGGGATAATAATAATGATAATAGATTACAGTTTTAATTAACCAGTTCCAGCAACTCTTGTTGTCTCTCCTGTGATTCTACTCTCTTCTCCTCCCAATACTCTAATGTTGTGGAAGGCGAAGCTTGCCCAGCAAGTGATTCAGTTTCAGGATGCATTTACATCTCCGGTACATTTAGTACCATCAATAATTTCCTCCTCGCACCAGAAATGTTACGCCAACACAAAATTAGAGTAGAACAAATGGTCACCAAACACAGGAATCCCATTCCGCCAAGTAGAAAGCCATTGGTTGGATGCATTTGCACGACGCATATACGTTTGGCTTGAACAAGGGTTATTAGCTTGATTGACCCTTAAGGGTGTGTTTGGTTGGAGGGGAGGGGAGGGGAGGGAAAATGAGCCCCTCCCCTCCCCTCATTTGGTTAAAAATTTTGGAGGGGAGGGGAGCTAAAATGTCCCCTCCCCTCCCTCCCCCCATTTTGGCTCCCCTCCAAATTGGGGGTTTTTGGAGGGGAGCCAAAATTTTGGACCATTATGCCCTTATGGCTTTTTTAATATTCCACTTCTACCCATAGAATATATTATTATAATATTTATTTCAAATAAAAATATATTATCCTAAGTAAAAAAATAAAAAATATATTATAAAAATTATTTACAAATAAAAAATATTTAAATAAAAAATTATAATATTATAAAATTAATTGTTTTTTATAATATATTATTTATTAAATATATTTTAAAGCTGGAAAAAAAGATAGCCTAAAGAAAATAAAATTTCATTTTTCTTATAGCATATAAAATTTGTTAATTTGATTATTTTAAATATATTATTATATTAATTAGAATAAAAAATTACTATACCAATTTTTTAATACACATATTAACATGATAAGACTGAATTTTTATTAAATTATATAATTTAAATTAAGATGTAAATTAATTTATATAATATATCAATAAAAAACATAAACTAATATGTAAGGGTAAAATGGTAAATTGATTATTATTATCCCTCCCCTCCTTGAACCAAACAAGGGATCATTAAATGCCCTCCCCTCCCCTCCTTTTTAATCAAACCAAACAAGGGGAGGATGAAACCTCCCCTCCCCTACCCCTCCCTCCCTTCCCCTCCCCTCAAACCAAACAGGCCCTAAGGCTTTGTTTGGTTGGGGTGTTTTTGAGGGGAGGAGAGGGGGAGGGGAGGATGTGTTTGCTTGGAAGGAGGGGAGGGGAGCTAAAAAAATTTGTCTTTTTGTGCTGCCCTCCCCTCTTCCTCCCCCCTTCCAAATTGGGGGTTTTTGGAGGGGAGAGAAACATTATGAGAATCTTAACAAATATGCTCATACTATTTTTTGAATATTCCAGTGGTGCCCTTTTGATATTTTTTTGGTTTCGCATGATTACTTTCGTATTCCTTTTCGCGGTCGCTCAGTTATATACACACATACACACAAATATAATATGCATATATGTTAATATATTAATTAATTATATATATTAATATATATTATAATTATAATATGACACTGTTAATATCATATATATTTTTTATTTCCTAATATGTGGAGGATATTATTATATAGTTAATGTCTTGTCTTTTTTTCTCCTATTCACTTTTCTCATCTATATTTTACTTTTATTTCATTTTTTTTATCACATATAAGTGAGGTAATTGGTTTTTTTTGAAATTGATAAATTAGGAAATAATAATTTTGATATAAATATTATAATAAAAGAATAAATCAGTCTAAATATAAAGATAAGGGTATATTTGTCAATTTATAATCCCCTCCTCTTGTGAACCAAACAAGAAATCTCTCTTCTCTTCCCCTCTCCTCCAACTAAACAAAACCCCTTCCCTCTATTGAACCAAACAAATCCTAAAAGTAAGGCGGTTGGTAGTAAGCAATGGTGATTAAGGAAGGAATAAAGGAAGTGAAAGGTCGACAATGAAACATGTACGACGCACGATATAGTTTCCAAGAAACCACGACCTCACTTCCAAGCAGTCTCTAGGATTCCCAGAGCCGGCGTTCATTTAATTCTTCAACAATAACACTCTTGTCAAGCAATTAATCCCATCTTTTTTTTGTTTTTCAAATCACTAAATTCAAGGTGATGTATCCCAGTGTCACTAATTGTGTCCCTGGTTATAGTTACAACCAGACATCGCCCACGCGGAACTGTCCATGCTCTGAACAATTTAAGCATCAAATCCCTATAACTAACAACCGCTCCTTTTATTGCCCGATACCAGAAAAAAGGGATTCTCAGACAGAAATTCACTGTCAATCTCAACCCCAGCAATCATTGGAATACCTCATAAATGAGACCATTTTAACGTTGTCGTTTGTGCCTGTGCTGTAATTAGGTGCAGTTTACCAGTCATCCATCGTATTCGCAGTTGAAAATATTTACATGAACGTCTTGGTGAGTTCACTCAGGTTTTTCCTCGTCAACAAATCACAGATTTCTTAACTAGCCTGGTATTATGAGAACTGAAACCGTTTCAACATTGCTGTTTGCCCCGCTGTTGAAATTAGATGCTGTCTACAGCTTGGTGAATGGCAATTAACAATATTGATGTCGATGAATTCGTGTATTGATCTGAACTCCAACTATATTGCAATGGATCTCAACGAGTGAAGGCGTAGTCGTTGAAGCTCCAACTAAACCACACACACAGTCATAATGGCAAATAAATACACACCCACTTCACATAAAAGCACCCGCCATATAAAATTGTAAATTAAAGCAGAGCGAATTCTTGGAACTCACTGGGCTTTTTATGATTATTATTATTATTAATGTATACAAACTAGAAGTGATATGGAACTGAAAATGGCAATCTATAGGAATTAACAAATTTACATATTGAGTTTCTTATTGGGCGCTTGCTGAGGCAGGATCAAGCTGTGAGTACAGCTAATTATTGTTTCTAGTATAAACCGGAAGGAATATGGACGTAAGAATGGCAATCCATATAAACAAGCAAATATAAATAAGAAGTTTCTTATTGGGCGTCTGCTGCAGTAGGATCAATTTCAAAGCGTTCAGACTCAGAAACGCGTCTCTTGTGGCGAGCGATGATGGTTTCGGCTTTAATGTCAATCCCAGGGTCAGCGAACCCCCAAGGGCCCCCGTCTTGATCACTGGGCCACACTTTGCGAGCCGTCATTCCGTCGTCGTAGGAATCGTAGTGGCCTCCTCTGTTCTTCTTGGATTTGAACATGTTGAACACAGACATGAAGCCTGAAGAAGACTTCCTCTGCCTGTTGTTGCCTCCCATGGCTGCTTGTTTTAGGTTAACGCAACCACACACTGTCTTTAGTATGAGGAACAAAGCTGAGATGTGAGAGCCTGTGTCTTGGTTTTGAATTGCGATACGGCGTTGTGGTTCTGAATTTATAGGGAGGCCTCCTTCGTAAAACTGCCCAGCAGTGAAGAATCTGATGACTGGGCAGATGAGGCTGACATGGCAAGTTTCTTAACGATGGCTCTGGCTTGGTGGCCATTGAAAGTGATAGTTTCCCCTTTGACCGAATAAAGCCCTCCACTTGTTTCGCTAACTTGTGCCCTAAGGGAAAGGCGTGAACCTTCCATCCATTAACCATCACGGCGTCAAGAAGATTAGGAGCTGGGGAGGTACGAATATGTTCTACTTTTCCCCCCTCCACATTATATTTTCCAAGGTTTAATATTTATTTTTTTTCCTGATTTTGTAACTTATTTCAAAGGAGCCTGTTTTGGTCTGAGCACCAACTAGCGTCCAAGAAACACCAAGAAATTCTCTTTAACCTGTTCGGTATTACTTGCCCAATATTGAGAAACTCCGTACATATTGGGGCACAAATATGACAATACAACCCTTTATTTTGAACACAAATCGACCCAATTGGCCTCCTACGTGTTATGTCCCTAAGAAATAAGAATATTTCAAGTGACTATTGAAATAGTTTGGACTGCACACCATATTGCTTTATGACATGGGGTGCGTAGAGGAAGGGTAATAATACGGTGAGGGTAGGAAAATACAGGGTGCTGTGTTCTTTACGGTGAGCAGGGATATAATCTCCGCATATATCCTTCATTTTTTATTTTTGATTCAGAAAAAACAAAAGCACAACAAGTAGGTGGATGCCAGGCCAAAAGCTAATGATGCATTGAGTACTGCACAGCATTTTTATTGCAGGAACGACCGGGGACTCCTGACCATCCATAGTTATGGGCTATATTCGTATGGCTTCAACTTTTTCCGGGATACCACCTGATGAGACTTCCTTTGGGTGGTTTCTATGGCTTGCTTTCTCACCTAACTGATTCAGATCCTCCAATGCTTCACCTTTTTCGTTTTTGTCCCATCTTCCACGGTCACTTCATTGTATGTGTGTCAAGTTAGAAAGACAATATATCCACCTGTGATTTTCTCTCCTCTTCTTCCTTTTCTTTTTTTTTTTTTTTGGAACAAATACTGGATACTATTACTTCAACAAAGTCAAAACATAACAGGGACTACAAAAGAAAAGAAAAAAAAAGATCCAACTATACTTATTTTCTCACTATTTTTAGGCGCCTTTTGTTCTGCTATTTTATGAGCATTAATTAATATAACAAACATTTATTCACTTATTCACCAAAAAATACTTATCTCTAGTAGGAAATTTTTATATACACTGATCGTGCTTAATGAGCTCGTTTTGTTGGGCGGAATTTTGACAGCAGCATTTCCAAATTACATGTGTAAAATAAGATATGTAAATAAATGCACACAGGTTTGGTCCCAAGAAAAAACAATAGATGAGAAGAAGAATGTCTCTACTAACTCTTCTTTCCACCTCTTGTTCACTTAATATTTCTATTGTTGAATTGACTTTCAATGGTTGAGATTCAAATCTAAGTAAAAATATTATAATAATATTAGATATAATAAAAATTTACAATTGGTAAACCATTCACATCAAATTTAAATACTATAAATTTATCTACCTATATTTTTATTATTTAAAATTTGATATTATAATGACATTTTTACATAATAAATCTTAGTCGTTGAAACTTGATCTAATGGTAAAATATTAAGCGAAGAAAAAATGGAGAGGAAAGCTAGTGAAGATATTCCTCTCTCCAATAGAGGGGGGATTTTTTTAGTAAAGGTTCTAGATACCCTCAGAATTGGACGGTTCACATGTGCTGCCTGCTTGATCGCTCCTTTTGTCCTATATAGTGCAGCAACTACACACACACGTGTGTATGTGAATAAATAAAATTCTTAGGTGCCATCTCAAAGCCTTGGTTTTAACATGCACTTATTTCAGCCATGCCTTGCTGTGATCCGTTTAGATCACCATTCTGGTTCTGCCGGCAACAGAGTTAAAAACATATACTCCTCCGGTTATTAATATAAGACTCATTTAACTAATTTGATTAGATTAATGAAGTTAGATAAGTTAGTTAATTATAAAAAATGTGACACGTTTTTTCTAAAACACTATAATCATCTTTCTTAATACCCCTCTCCCTCTTTTATTTGATTATGATTAAGGGAGTATTTACAGGGGTAATTTAGAGAAAATTGATAAATATGAGAAATGGGTCTTATATTTAGGACCAAAACCAACTCAATAATTGAGTCCTATATTAAGGACCGGAGGAGTATATATATATAATTAGTCACTTTTCTGAGTTCTCCTGAATGTAGCAGGAGAATTATTTTTGAAGAATCATGCAGAAACTTTCAGAGCACAAGTTAGTTGAAATCTAAGTGCTGGGTGAGAGGCGGAAAACCCTGTAGTTTAGTATCATCAGCTATGAAACCTTGCATTGTGAGTGGGCATGTGACGACCTATAGTTGTGACTGTGATAATCATAATGAGAAAAATTTCTTGAATAGGGGATTAGATGTAAAGACATGAGCAGGTAAAAGGAAAAAGATATCTGCTGCTTATTGTTTTCACCCAATTGTCTGCAATTTTACTCAGCGGTAGCTTTTAGCTCACCATCTCCAGCTAGCCCATGCTTTCACGAATAATTATTTTCCTGTTGTTAGATTTTATTTTTTTCGGTTGCAGAAAACTCAGTATTTTTCAAAAAGAAAGCCCAACTTTTATGGTAACAAAATCGTACTTTATTCCTGGAAGAATAAAGAGAAAGATGGAAGAGGGAAGGAGGATTTGATTACAGGAGTGGAAAAGAAAACTTTTCATGGAATAAGTTCTTTCAGGAAACATGATGGCAATCTCATATCTGTTTCTAAGAATTAATTACAAGACAGTTCTAGACTCAACCCCGCTTCCCTAACATTTAACCCCATCTTCAAGCAGCATCTATCGCAATGTTCAAAAATCCAAATTACTTTAGAAAAAGTGGTAATAAAAAAAAATACTATAGAAAGCGGAGATGATGGGATTAGGTGTGGAATATGACCTGAGAAGGATAATGAATAACGGAGCTCAAAATTTTGGGCCCAAATCAAGGTTTTTTTATGGGGAAAAAAAACTCAATACTCAAAATTATTTAAAAAATAATAATAATAAAAACTCAATGCTCAAGGTTCATTTGGATTAGCATTGAAAACAGTAATTATTTTCAACCTTTAGATTAGGTAAAAAGTTAGATTAGATAATTTAATTTATATTTGGACTGATTTTGTAAAAGTTAGTTTGTCGAGTAAAAAATTTATTTGGATTATAATTAAATAAGTAAGTTTATTTGTAGAATGACCAAAATATGTGTGACTTTTATTAAATAATAAAAAAATATGAATTTACAAAATATAATAATTTTAAATTATCATAATAGGAAAAAGTTATATTTAATGAATAAAATATATTCAAATTAGAAATCATAGTAATGTGAAAATGTTTGAGCCAAATAATATTACATAATTAATTGGATAATATATTTTGCATAATTTTTATAAATTAAAAATTAAAAATCATATTAAAAATTAAAAATATTATAAAAACTGTTAAAATTATTTTTACTTAAGAGAATATTAAAAATAAATAACTAAAAATTGATTAGGAAATATAAAAAATATATAGAAAGAAGCATAAGAATAACATAAACATAAGAGTACAAATGTCTTTTAATTTTAAAAAACTACTTTTGTATAAATCATATATAAATTGTAGGTGTTTTTACAACCATACTTGAAAAAATAATTTTTATCAAAAACTGTGATAAACAGTTATTGACTTGTTTTTCTTCTCTCCCAAAAGCCTTACCAAACAGGCTGCAAACCACGGGTACCGACTGCTGAGTATAATACTTCTCCTTTCCTCGGCTCCCAGGCGGTCCCAACACGCGACAAACATATGTACTCGTGCATTAATTGATTTAATTCAGAGTAACAGAAAACTCCTCATCTTCCTAGCTAACGGCAGGCATATAAATTCTGTGTTCTTGGGCAAATATTAACCATGATTAACGGTCACTACAATAGCGTGATGAAGTATATGTCGGAAAATTATAACTATATTTTTGGAAGACCGACATGATTAATTTTATTATTTTAAGATGGCAAAAAAAATAATTTTTTTGACTTTTTAAATAATTATTTTTTAAATAATTCATTAAAAAAAATGGAGATTTTAGCTTGCGTCGAGTAAAACTTGAAGACCCTCAATAATGACGCTATTTTCCCTCATTCTTGATCTTTTACTCGTTAGTTCTCACATCTCACCGCTTCGTTGTTTTTGTTCAACGTTTATCTCCGGCAACTCAACTGAAGGTCTGTGGCGAGGAAACCTGTTTTTCTAACCCTTCCTTTGTAGCGGCCTTTGATTTGATTGTAGCCTATTCATTGTTATGCCTTGCTTTGAAAAAGGCAGAAGGAAATATGGAACCCAAGCAAGGAATAAAACAAACCTTATCTATTTTCACTTCCAACTAATTATTACAATAAGTACAAACATGAAGGAATATGGATGTAAAGACGGCAATACATAGAAATAAACAAATATAAATTACTGGGCGTCTGCTGCAGGAGGATCAATCTCAAAGCGTTCAGACTCAGAAACGCGTCTCTTGTAGCGAGCGATGAAAGCTTCGGCTTTAATGTCAATCCCAGGTTCAGCGACCCCCCAACGGCCCCTGTCTTGATCACTGGGCCACACTTTGTGAGCCTTCATTCCGTCGTCGTAGGAATCGTAGTGGCCTCCTCTGTTCTTCTTGGATTTGAACACGTTGAACACAGACATGAAGCCTGAAGAAGACTTCCTCTGCCTGTTGTTGCCTCCCATGGCTGCTTGTTTTAGGTTAACGCAACCACACACTGTCTTTAGTATGAGGAACAAAGCTGAGATGTGAGAGCCTGTGTCTTGGTTTTGAATTGCGATACGGCGATGTGGTTCTGAATTTATAGGGAGGCCTCCTTCGTAAAACTGCCCAGCAGTGAAGAATCTGATGACTGGGCAGATGAGGCCGACATGGCAAGTTTCTTAACGATGGCTCTGGCTTGGTGGCCATTGAAAGTGATAATTTCCCCTTTGACCGAATAAAGCCCTTCACTTGTTTCGCTAACTTTTGCCCTAAGGGAAAGGTGTGAACTTTCCATCCATTAACCGTCACGGCGTCAAGAAGATTAGGAGCTGGGGAGTTACGAATATGTTCTACTTTTCCCCCTTCCACATTATATTTTCCAAGGTTTTATATTTATTTTTTTCTGATTTTGTAACTTATTTAAATTAGATTCAACCAAAAGGGGCTTTTTCTCTTGTTCCTTCTTGGCGCTGCCTTGTGAATCTTCTATTCTCCCTTTATTCCTTCCTTAATAATGAGTTAACACTTACCGTTCTTCAGCTTTTTGGGTCAAACAAACGAAGAACTCTTTAATATACGAGCCTGGTCTATGCTGCCAGTGCAGCATTCCACTACGCAGATTTTTCCTCTCCTCGCTTTCAAAGGAGCTTGTTTTGGTCTGAGCACCAACTAGCGTCCCAGAATAATCAACAAGAAATTTTCTTTAACCTGTTCGGTATTACTTGCCCAATATTGAGAAACTCCGTACATATTGGAGCACAAATATGACAATACAACCCTTTATTTTGAACACAAATCGATCCAATTGGCCTCCTGCGTGTTATGTCCCTAAGAAATAAGAATATTTCGAGTGACTATTGAAATAGTTTGGACTGCAAACCATATTGCTTTATGACATGGGGTGCGTAGAGGAAGGGTAATAATACAGTGAGGGTAGGAAAATACAGGGTGCTGTGTTCTTTACGGTGAGCAAGTATATAATCTCCATATACATCCTTCATTTTTTATTTTTGGTTCAGAACAAACAAAAGCAAAACAAGTAGGTGGATGCCAGGCCAAAAGCTAATGATACGTTGAGTATTGCACAGCATTTTTATTGCAGGAACGACCGGGGATTCCTGACCATCCATAGTTATGGGCTATATTCGTATAGCTTCTACTTTTTCCGGGATACCACCTGATGAGACCTCCTTTGGATGGTTTCTATGGCTTGCTTTCCCACCTGATTGATTCAGACCCTCCAGTGCTTCGCCTTTTTCGTTTTTGTCCTATCTTCCAGCGTCACTTCATTGTATGTGTGTCATGTTAGAAAAACCATCTACCTGTGATTTTCTCTCTTCTTCTTCCTTTTTTTTTTTTTTGGAACAAATACTGGGTACTGTTACTTCAACAGAGTCAAAACATAACAGAGACTACAAAAGAAAAAACAAGATCCAACTATACTTATTTTCTCACTATTTTTAGGCGCCTTTTGTTCTGCTATTTTATGAGCATTAATTAATATAACAAACATTTATTCACTTATTCACCAAAAAATACTTATCCCTAGTAAGAAATTTTTATATACACTGATCGTGCTTAGTGAGCACGTTTTGTTGGGCAGAAATTTGACAGCAGCATTTCCAAGTTACACGTGTAAAATGAGATATGTAAATACATGCACGCAGGTTTGGTCTCAAGAAAAAAAAAACAATAGATAGGGGATTTTTTCCCCCCTCCACAGAGTGTACATGTGGGATTGGAAATCAAAATATTCCAAAACGAACGAGCCGAGATTACAGATCCCGGAAACTGTCTTGCTCTTCTTCATTCACATAGTTCGTTTGGGATTTGCTTTCGATCAAAGTAAGCTGTAGATGGGGCTTGTTATATTAGGCCCATCAGGTCCAGAAGTTTTCTTTTGGTGTCCTCCGTCCAAGACGATGATAATGTTGGGGCGCCGAAGCTTGGATGGCAAGGAATGAGAAGCATCATCACTAAATGAAACGACGTGACTAATTAAGTTATGGCTTCAATATAATGCTGGTGGTTTGAAACGAGTTGAGATAGATATGGAAGCGAGGAAGGAAGGAAGGAAGGAAGGGAGTCACTTGAGGAGGACGTAGACGGCGTAGACAATGCCGGGGATATAAGCAATGATGGTGAGGAGGAGGCAGATCCAGAACTCCAGCTGCATGCATCCAATCCAATTAACATTATTATGTTTCTGGTTTGCTCACTCACCGACAACGCCAGAGCCATAAAAACGTCACTATATCATTCATTCTTTTGATTTCAAGAGATTATAACGCATGGCACAGAGAAACTAAAGGAGGCGACGTCGTCGCACGTACCTTGATTCCGAACTTGAGGAACACGCCCAGCGGAGGCAAGAATACGGCCAGCAGTATGCCTACGCAGTCCACCGTCTTCTCTGCGTCCATTTCTCCAGATCTCTCTCTCTTTCTATATTCTCTACAATCCCAAACTTCCTTTGCCCGTTAACATGCTAATTGTCCCCAGGCCTCCTCACACGTCCGCACACCTGTCAACTTCCTTCCTTGCAAGCACAATTCTAAATCCATCCGTCCAATAAACACGCACCCGCCCATCATCTCAAAACATAACCTCCTCACTCCTCATTTATCCTTAATTAACACCTTGTTTTACACACACGAGTGATCATTTCTAAAATTCTTCATTTGGATTGCGTATCCCAATATTTTATGCACGCATATTTTCTTTTACAATTCGCACCCATCATTTTAAAAAAAAATTGCATAAAGCCTTGTAAAATACAAATACGACAATACATCAAATTCAACATTTTAGTTCCTCCGAATTATTTTCGGTTCCTGTGGCTAATAAATTTTATATTACGCAACTCGATAGTTAGAGTTGGCCTAATATTGGGGACACGGACGGCTCAAAAAGGGATAGGCTTCATGACCCAGACAAAAGTTAGGCCCGCTGCCTCTCGCTGTGATGTTCGTCAGTCCCTATCATCGAATTGGTCTCCTCAGCAAATGTGGCTCCCATAATCCTTATTGCAATACTACAGAAATAGTAACCATGACAGCGGCCGTGGTCTCGTTAAAAGAGGCACAGGGCGCGCATTAACCCACGATCTCGAATTCGCGGTTTCTAAGTCTACTCCTACGTCTGTCCAGCAAGTTTTGTCAATGGTACTGGGCTACATACAAAGCCCAATTTCCATATTGGGCTTCCTATTTGTACGCAACACAGCTGCGGCGGCCTAGAATAAATAGGCCCAATGAATGGGCTGACATGTAGACTTAACTGAGGCCCAAAATATGGGCCCCGTTTCCACTAATCACTACAAGTTACAAACACGGGACTAACAAATTATTCCCCCCGGGGGGGGGGGGGGAACAGAGACGGGATTATGTTTAATTCGATAATCACGTCATATGGGTGGAATATAATTTGTATGAATGGTGTGGTCGAAAACTCGAAATGAAGAGGTGCGTTAGTGCTCATTGATCGGATCAAAATTGCGTGTTCAATTCAGGCCGAGGCAGTTTGGGGACACAACAAAAAAAGCAAATTGCATGTGCCAGATTTGGCCTAACACTAGAATACCATGTTTCTGCAAAATTAGGAGCTAGCCACTGGATTTCCTTCACCCTTGCCTCTAGTTCTGTAATCTCTTCCGTCTAAGGCCATACTGCTTCCTTCCAAAATTCTCACACAATATGCCTATCAGAACTGATCTCATACTACTTCGATACATATATTTTAGAGAGGAAAAAAAGAAAATAAAATAAAAATTCACGGGGCAACTAACGTTGCCCTTTTATCTCTAAGTGAATAGTGAATGGGAGGTGGCCGCGGGAACAAAAGATAATGACACAGTGGGGAAAAGGGGTCGCACAGGCATGTTGAGGAGAGGACACGAGCTTTACGGATTGTCTTAGATTTAGCTCGTTATTATAAAGTAAGAACCAACTATAGGTGCATGGATGATGGATAAGACGTAGGGCTGTCTCGTGTCTGGCACTGTTTGTCCTCAAAATCTTTTTTTTTTTTTTTTGGTTGGGCGAATTTGATAAGACCTGTGATATGATGAAGATGTGCTTAGGTTCTCCATTGAGAGATGGGCACAGGGGCTTGTGAAAATGAAGTCGGGCACCGGGGCAAATGCCTAAGAGAATCTCAAACAGTGGATTCTGAGTCACAAGGCTCTCTCTCCCAGAATTACAAGTAATGATGCAAATGGGGTGTTAAATTTGACTATCATTTCCCACTTGCTAGCTTCACAAAGAAAGCAAAAGCAATTGTAATTATTCTAACAAAGGGAGCGTAAAGGGTAAAATTTCAACCAGACAGAGACTTTGATAATTGTTTAAGGCTTTTTGCAACGTGTTTACATGTCCTCAAGCAAGAGAGGAAAGAAAAGCTCCGTGTGTGTGCGTGTATTATATATAAATAACACTGATAGATGGGGGCAAACAGATTGAGAACCTAATAAAATAAGGAAAAGGGCAGATAGTGAAAGAAGAGTGGAGGAAGATTTCAGATTAGGGAAACAATAATCAAGTGTTAGATGTTAATCTTCCAGAAAGGGAAAGCAAAACGTCATGACAGAGACGTGAGTGAGTTGATGCAAAACCAAAGATGCATGTGCCTGTGTTTCCATTCCAATCCCCCTTGATGGCCCAACTGAGAAGCCATTTAATCTCCTCCATTACTTAATTATTTTACGTCTTCTCAGAATCTAACCCTTTACCTTACAATCCCCTTTCTCTCTATCAACCTGCCCTCTCCTTACTAATTTATTCATTACTCTTTCCCACTTTTCATCATTTCACTATACCGTTTCATTTTCTTCTACGTTTTTGTCACAGGGAAGGAAGTACATATTAGCAATCAAGCTACAAAATATATTTAGTCTTTAATTGATTTTGATATACACCAGTGCCAATATATCCAATGGGTTATCATATGTTGAACTTTCCGTATGAGGCGAGACTTTGATCATGTTAAGGAGAACCGAAGAAGCTATGGAAACTGAAGTTAACTCCAGAAGAAAAAAATTGAAAGAATGTGTTCTCTGCTTAAGTGACAATACTAATGACACCCCTGCGGAATAATCATTAGTGTGGATTTGTTTTAAGGGCTAAGTTCACTGCAGTAGCTTAACTAATGATTAGTTTAGGGTTGGAAGGTTTGAGAGAGAGCATGTCAGTGTTTGAAAATCGAAAAAGTTCACTTAGTGGCAGTGGTTACAACTGTTGCTACGTTTCCAAGCAGGTTATTTTTATTATTTTATGTCTAATATTTAGGAATTGACAGCTATTAATTTCCATTGCACTGAGCAGAAAGAGGTCATGAATTGAAATCAAAATATAGACACAATATATGCCTCTTTCTTGTCAATTAGTTGTCTGTTACATTTATAATTAGCTGCTGAAAAGATGTGTTTAAGGATAATGCAGAGGCATCTATCAGCAATTGATTTCAAGGGCAAGAGGATTGTGTCTCCCTCATTTTCAAATGCCTTTTCCTCATTATTACGATCTTCCCTATCTTTCACTTTATAAATTCCCCATCACCATTATAGTTCTTCCTCTCACTCCAACCCTTTTCAAATCATGCCCTTCACTTTACGTGGAAACCTCATCCTTCCCGTTCCATCAAAAAATCACCCTTATGCCTCAACTTGGCTGATGTTCTGTTCTACCAATTCATGTTCCAGTTTTATGTAATTCCCCATCTTAATTGAAAATTGATACTAATTTCTTCTCTGTATCGCTTGTGTTCTTCTGGTTTTTAGATGGATGATGATACGAGGCAGGCGAGGACAAAATTCTTGTGGTATTTCAACAATAGTAATCAGTGGTTTCTCCGAAGACTTTAAACCACAACTGAGAACAAACAAACACACACGCACAAGGGGAAGGGTTTGTTTAATCTGCGTGTGCAGCAGCATGCATTGGACTTGGACCTGAACAAATAATAAGCTGAATTTGATGGCATAAGATGGACCTACCAAGATTGTTATCACATATTCTAACACACAATAATGCCACACACAAATCAAAATCCTTTTGTTATCAAATTTTGCCTTGCCGTGGGACCGACCCCCCCGAAATTACATATTCACCCTTCCCAAAGGAATCACAGCTTACCAACTTGGGAGACAAATACACAGCAAAATGAACAGGTGATTTTGGATGAGATTTGTTCCAACTCTTGTCTCCCCCTGGTTTATCATTGCCTTTCAAAATTACCGTGGCTATAAACTACATATGTTACTAACTATTACCCTAATTTACATTTTAGTTTAGTTAAGACGCTTGTCTATTATATTTATTCGACCATAGAGTTCATGCATGCATTTTTTGTCGGAGAAACCAATTCAATATTTGCCTGAAACTCCCCCAGATCACTCTGTTCTGGCACCGAATATTTGCCGCTACATTCATTGATAATGAGACGCCGAGTTTTAAGTTTTTTAAAAATCCCTTAAAAGGGCTTAAAATATTTCAATTTCATAGCTTCCAATCATTAGTTATCAGAGATTGATTCCCGAAACGCGGACATCAATGTTTCATTTGCCCGGGGAAATAAAAAAACAGAGAAAAGGGATTATAGAAGAAACAGAGGATCAATAATATAGCCGAACAACTTCAATTTGATCACTTGATTAAAGAAGCAAAACTGATTATTTGCAGTGAAACTCCAAATGACAACGAAGCCGACATTTATTATTAACGCATACAGGCAAAGACAATTTACAAAGGTTCCAGTTTGACTTCACTTAACAGCTCATAAGGGAGTGCGAATAACAAGATAAGCTTTTAAACGCATGATGAGGTATGGCGCATGGAGATTGTAAAGCATCTTCCATGGAGTTTCTTTTTATAATGGAGTCATTGTTTACGCCACGGAAACTTTCGGAATGTCAGAACAAAGAGACAGGCTATCGATATTAATGTATTATTATTGAGAGGCGAAGATACTTCTTTCAAATTATGAACGTGTTCATGTTTAGGTTAAGGGCTTAAAGGACAACTGACCAGTTTGGATGCTTCTGTGCCATGAATATATCATTTACAGATTATTGTACAATTTGGGCCATCTGAAACAGACACAGACAAACGAATTGATTAATTTTATATGCCCACAAATGTTCCTTGATTACTTCTATTCCAAGATATGTAATTACTATTTAGAAGCAAGAAAAAAATAAAAGAAAAAACAAATAAGTTCACACCTTTTATTTGAACCCTTTTTTTTTTTTTTAATTTACAGTTGCTCACACTCATGTTGTTTGACCTTTTTGTCTCGAAAGTTATGCTGTTCTGAAATTATTCATTAGGGCGTTTAATTATGGAAGTTGATAACTTGTCCTTCTGTAAAGGACGCGCAGTAACAAGCTATTGATGAATTCGATATTCAAACACGCTCCAATTCAATCCCTCATCATTACATGCTGGGGAATCTTCCCTTTCTGATCTCATAGTTTAAAACCATTCCAAGCATTTAAATTTGACTTCTTCCATTCAAAAGTCAACAATCCTGGGGTTTTTCCCCCGCACAATCACCTGGTATATTTTTCCGTTACTGTAACACGTAAGCAAACTGCAATAAAAGTTTTGACAATGTAAGAGTACCTGCAGATGGTAATAATTAATTGATGAGCCAAATTTGTCTGCTTTTATAGATTTCAAGAATCGCAGGCTTCGATAAACAAAGGACAAGTGCATTATTGTGATTGTCGTATTTATACACACAAGTACATTTGTTTATTTCCATTATTAACGATTATTTAAGTGCCCGACCCTTCATATTTAAACCCCAAAAAAAAAAGGAAAAAAGAAAAGACTACGCTTTAATTACCTTTCCCCACAGTCATAGAATTTGGATAACGGCCGAGTATTGAAATTTAAGAAACCCGATTGAATGCCAAAGTAACGTAATTTTCAAATTGCAAAAAACACAATCATTTGGGGCAGTTGGTTGAATTTCCAGTATTTTCTAAGGGAAGAAAGTATGACTCTGCTAAAGATGTGAAAAAGTAAATCTGTATTTGTGCCCAAATGATGAAACTTTTCCAAAGGATCAAGAATTCTGATAAATCATCCCAAGGAAGCCAAAAAGAAGAGATGCTCAGCTTTCTGCTAAAGAGTACGCGGCCCAAAAACCTATTCCAGGAAAAAGAAAGAAACATACAGCATTTCCTGAATTTCAAAGCATCATCACCAAAGGGAACTAAAGAACGTATAAATAATCGATTTAATGCAGCATCCTTTCTTTGTTCACTTTACTAATCTCAGCCCTTTACTTGCTCATCACAAACTTACCCTTTAGCCTCACCCTTGGCCTGTCTTCTTTTGCCTTCGAATTCCATACAATTTATTATTATTTTACTATATTATGACGTTTTAGTCTTTCTTGACAATGACTTCCAAGACCAAGTAGAATGCATGGTATGGCTACCTAAATTAGTCGCAAAGGACGGTGAAAATCTTCCTCGCTTTGGAGCTACTACTTACCAAAAATCGAGTTAAAATGGATGGACTCTTTTACTGTCTTGTGAGGTTAAGCGCTTTTTATTTTTACTGTCAAAACATGAGATCTCCTGAGAAAATGGCCTCCTGGTGGGACCCAGATGATTATGTCATGATTGAATTCACTCTATACATCGTCATATAATTTGAAACGAAAATAAAGCGAGAGGAAGTAGGACGGATATAAATAAAAATTGAAAATCCTGCTGGGGCTCAACTTTCTCGAAAGGCTCCTTCTTCTATTTATTCGATTCCCTATCAAGCTGCCATTTTATTTTCGGAACTTGCTTGACAAAGCCCTCTGAAACCTCCTTTTCTTTGTCTTTCTTGTTTCCTAGAATTCACATAAAAAGTCCTTCCTTCCTGCTGCTGTATCCACGTAGGTATAATAGTTATACCGAGCAAGGACTCCCAAAAAGCACTGAAAAAGTCGCTGCACATGGGAAGGCACTCTTGCTGTTACAAGCAAAAGCTAAGGAAAGGCCTCTGGTCACCAGAGGAAGACGAGAAGCTTCTCAATTATATCACCAAGCATGGCCATGGATGTTGGAGCTCTGTCCCCAAGCTAGCTGGTACTTTCTGTCTCACTGATATTGCACTTGGTTTTGTACTGTGTACTAACACTCTTTTTAAGCTCAAATCTCTCACTGATACTGATGAATATGGCAGGCCTGCAGAGATGTGGGAAGAGCTGCAGATTGAGGTGGATAAATTATCTGAGGCCTGATTTGAAGAGAGGAGCATTCTCCCAACAGGAAGAAAATTTGATTATTGAGCTCCATGCAGCACTAGGAAACAGGTATGATACATGTTTGCAATTTGCATATATGTATCGTGCGTACTCTAATTCAGGCTTTGTTTAAATGGTTTCATATGTGGTTGCTGCTGAATTTATCAGGTGGTCTCAAATTGCAGCTCAGTTACCGGGAAGAACAGACAACGAGATAAAGAACCTATGGAATTCCTGCCTGAAAAAGAAGCTCAGGCAAAGAGGCATTGACCCCAACACCCACAAACCTCTCTCCGAGGTAGAGAACCACAAAGATAAGCCTTCCTCGGCCGACAGAACCAATCAGAAAACCTCCGTATTCAATGAACAGACTTTGGCTCATGAGTCAGCAAAACCAAAACCTCCACAACTATACCCTCCTCTTCAAGTTTCATCCCCTTCCAACTTCAACAATAGCAACAATAATTCCCATGATCTATTTCTTGATAGGTCTTGTTCCGATGTTGCGGGTTATTTCTCTTTCCAACCCTTCAACAACTATGCAACAAATCCCGACACCAGTACTTCTCTTTGCTTCATCCCCAGCTCTACCAGTTCCTCTCAGGCTATGTCGGGCCTTAATTCGGCTGTCAATCCCACTATTCCCCATTCAATATTGCCTACAAATGCAAATTCCACTCTTGTCCTCCAATCTGATAACAATCCCTCTGCTCATATTCATGGTGTTCAGGCATGGGAAGCCACTGCCTTTAATAACAATGGAGGCAAAAACAGTGGGAGCAATAGTGATATACCATTACAAAACAGCAATAACTTCATCGAGAACAACACTTTAACGTGGGAAAACGATTCCCATGTTAACGTGGCATCCTTGCAAGCAGAACAAGAAGACATAAAATGGTCTGAGTATCTTAATACCCCGTATTTTCTGGGCAATCAAATCTCTCAATCTATCTACAGTGAGGTTAAACCAGAAACGGGGTTCATAACAGATGAGGCGACTACTAGTTGGCACCATAATAGCCAGCAGCATCCACAAGTTTTTCAAGCTTCAGATGCATATACCAAGGATATGCAGAGATTTTCAGTGGCTTTTGGACAAACGCTTTAGCTTCAGTTCAATGAAACAGAAAGGTGCCGACATTTTTATTATGTGCTGGGGTCAGAAATGTGCCTTCTGCGTTCTGACCACAGGTGTGTGCTATAAAATTAATTTTCTTTTTCTATTTTTGAAATTTGTAAATGTGTTTGATAGCAAAAGCTAGCTTCCAGCATTATGTCACAGTTTAATATTTGGGATTGATTCGAGGCTTCTTTCCGTCATTTTGTTCGTCAAACAGAGAAGAACCACTGCAGAATAAGACTTGTTCTAGGTCGTCTCTTGTTATATATTCTTGAATTTTCATGGATCTGTAGCGTATAGGTTTTTTATCTGTATAAAATTAACATCATTCTTTACATTCGTCTAATTTCAAGCTTCGACATTATTATGTGACATGAAGTTCATGGAGCAATATCGGTGGGAGTGAATAGTTTCAAATCCTAATGACTTTTTGGATGTCCGGGATTTGTTCTCTCTTTATGAAGTGTTCTAACACAGTCCATTCCGGCTTTTTTCAAGCTGAGAATCCAGCGAAATTGCATCTTGTTTTCTCCATCAAGGCTCAGGGGACCATCTTGCTTAAATGGGTGTCCATCATTGTCTCCTAAAGATGGAGATGACTTTCGCTTTTTGCATCAACGGCTTAAGAGCGAATACAAGATCAAATTATACTCTGCCTAGTACATTTACAGGAAATGACTTTCAACTCAATTAGAACCTCATAAAAAGAAGCAAAAAAATTGAAAAATGGAAGAATAGCTATAGGCCTAAAAAAAGAAGATATTTTAGAGGAAGAATGGACTGGGAGGTAACACGATTTGTACCGTTTTAGATGATAGAATTTTGTGCGAAATTATGTCGAATAGAGGGGGCCTAATTCCTCCGCCTATTTCTTATAACTTCGCTTCAGGGGGATGGGGCCCCCCGGTGGCCGTGGGCATCCGCTAACCGATGTTCAAACGCCACCGGATTCAAAGAGAGAGAAATTAATAATTGAAATAGCAACAAGCCATCCTTTCCTTCTTCATCCAATAGGACAAGTTTTTCCTTTTCTTTCTCAGTTCCCTTTTTTTGGGTCACGCAGCGGTAAAACTCGACAGTTTTGGTTGAATAGTCGAGAGTGGAAAATGTACTGGGAAAACCCAGGAACCCAACAATTTATCGGACAGTTGATATTTCACATGATAGGGCCGGTAAAGGTGAAAAAGTGAAGTGGAGTCAAAGTAAAAATGATGGTATTTATCAATCCTTATTTCTCAGTCTGCATCAACAGACATCAGTGAAACTAAAGTCAAACAGTTCCAAGGCAGTTTCCGTGACAGTGATGCCTTTTCGCTTTCAAGTTTCAATCCACACCCTTTTCTCCCATTCCCTGGAGGGCTAAAACAAATGGAAATACAAAAAATCGTAACACAAACACGTCGTGTTCCTAGTGGAAGGAAATCAAAGCTGAATGGCTCATGCTAATGAGGAATGTCCCGCTCAGGTTACGGAGAGAACTGAACAATTCTGATATTAGTATTGCCAATTCAAAAAATGAGGACAAAATTCTGGAGCCATCGTACAATACTGGCTCCTACCTCTGTTTAAAAGTCCGCGTGCCCGTTCAAGAACTCTATCTCTTCATTCAATATTTAATACGCACAAGATAGCGATTGTATGTATTAAAAGAACCCTGCATGTGCCACAAATTATCGGGTCAAATTTGCTGGGGCCCCACAATCATCAGCGTCCAGAAACACAAGAAGAAAGAAGGTGGTGGCTATTCAATCCCAAGTATGATTCCCCAATAAATAGGAATTTAGCAGTGGGCAATGAATTTTTTTTAAGTTCTTATAATTGTGTGAGGGACAAAAGATTTAATTTATATGTCAATTAAATATACAGGCAGGTATGAGTAACAAAAACAAATAGTTGATCATGATGATGAATATAGGGATGGGGACAATGATTGAGCTGATGATGATGGGCGGTATATATAATAGTCTTCGCTGGAGATTATTTTGTATCAGTTGACAGATAATCTGTGAATAATTTAATGTCAGGAAGTGGGAGGCCAATGAGAACTAGTCACAAGTTGAACGTCCCCAAAGTATCGACTATCAAAAGGAGCCGCTGATTAGAAGTTGCGTCAATTTGCGGTGAAAATGACTGTCCGGGTGGTAATATTATATTAATTTTTTTAATCAAATTCCATGTTACAACTGAACTTTTCGGATAATCTTATCTAATTATCATGTATCTCGTTAAATTGATAGAGAAATTTACATGGGTGACAAACTCAACCTAAGCCCGCATATATATAAATATATATATATATATATATATATATTAAATAAACACGTTTATAAGCCGCAGTGTGTGTATGATCCAGTAAATAATGGAATAAACTGCTGATTCCTCGCACAGTAAAACTGTCCGGGTGGTAATATTATATTCAATTAAATCTCAATTAAATCAAAGCCAGTGTTTTGGCTAACAATGACTATACGCCTCTGATTGGGGGAAAAATACATGAGAGCAATAGGCTTCACATTCACAGCTAATTGATGTAAACTTTAAAAAATGGATTTCACTGGTGACCTAATCAGCAACCTTGCCTTTTATTGTCTGTTATTGGACGATGAATGAGATAGAGACGACTGATGAAGCTCCGCTTATCTGAAAACCAGATGGTGGCAAGTCTTGTCGCATGGATATGGACAGTCAATATCCTTCACACCTGCTCTGTCGAAATACCAATCCCCCACAGCCAAAGCAATCGCCTGCATATTCTCAAACCATAAACATCAACTTTATGAAGATCTTAAAATTAAAGATTAGATGCTAATATCAAAAGGATAGACATCATGCAAGAGTACATATCAAGGCATGATGTATCTCGTTCAATGACCAATCATAATTTCTCCTCCAAAGCAGAATAAGTCATAACAGCAAGAAATCACCATTGAATACCATATAATCATAATCATCTAACATTCAGCCTCGTTTTTAAACATCGCAGTAACGAGAATCTTCTATATACGTGTGTGTCCGTAACTGGTTCAGGATTTATATACATTCTTAGATGAGGCATACCTTCTTGTTGATGACAGGGGAATGGTCAGCAAACCATGTATCCGGCCTCTCACTTTGGCAGTGTGAAAAACAAGAATTTATAAACAAACCATTCTGATTCGATCTAGAAAATCCTCTAACAGCATGTAGAATTTGATTCCTGAATCCTGTATAAAACAAAGTGATATGCGTAAATTGCCTGAGTGATTTTGATCGAGACATATCTCCGCATCAGGATCCAAATTTATCATATATCGAATCACCTTGAAGAAAATGAAGTTGCGGTCCAGTACATTTAGCATAGTTTAATCTACAGTTATGCCAGTAGCCGTGGGGATCTGCTGATGAAGGAGCCAAGCTGGACTGAATCTGATGATAAGCAGGGAATGAAATACGCTTAGATTAGTCTGTTTTCAATAATTCATTGAATGCATATCACGTCTACCAGATACCATGACAGTTTGCTCTAGTAGAAGAGCCAAATGATTGAATTAGACAATTAACCTGCCATGAATCATAGGCTGCATTGAGAATGAATAGTGGGGTTCTAACACTGTCAATCAAGTTCTGAGGGAAAAAGCACTGAAAGGGGACCAAAAAACCAACATTAGCAAGAGTTCGACTAAGATCAAGCAGCAATAAAGGAGAATATAATTTTTATGTATATCTGTTCAAATTCAAATGAAACTTGTATATCTTAATTCTCAGAAGCAGAGAAGAGAAACAGGGATTAATTACCGAAGTGGGATCAAGATGGTTAGTACAAGTTTGAGGCAGATTTTTCTTCACCCCCTGCAATGTTTATAGTACATCTATCATGTCAAATCATCAGCTGATACAGGATATATGGCTGGCGGTACATCCTGCTTCTCATTTTAAAACTCAATTCAATTATGTGTCAGAGTTTCAGGCCAGGTTCAGTATCTATGACCAAAACAAGTTTTACCCGGCATGATGTATAAAATTGATGTTGTAATTGCATGTTAGCTTTTGGTTCTAAAGTTGCTGAACCGCATACTATTAGCCACATTTCAAGATGACCTTGAAAGAAATACCTCTACTAATTTATGATGCATTACAAACATTATATTTGCAGTAAAACTAGAATAAAACTATGGCCTTAAACCAAAGTGGTACCTGCAGCCCTACAACTCCACTGTACATTTTCCTGAGAGTACGCCCACCAGATACATCAACCCTATAATTCCAAAATAGTTTACAATTACCTTAAACATGAAGGAACAAATCTTATAATGCTGTAAAAGGTCATTGAGAATCAGAAGTATGAAATACTGTATTAGCTACTTACGCATCAAGAAATAACCCAGCATCACTAAGACACTTCACTTTGGTAGTCATTGGAAATAGACTTCGAAATTCATCACAGTGAATAATAGTGGCCAAACCACCAGCAGAGCATCCAGTAAGAAAAGCCTGATGCATATCATATATCATGAGAAGAACAATCAATTAAGTAGTATTTTGTGTGTGCAAGCGTATGTACAACCTGGTTGGCATGTCTCATTCCCTTTGACATCAATTCTTCTATTGCAGCCAACCAAATACGCTGTCCTCTGAATTGCAGTTGTGCATTCTATCTCAAAAGACAATCAATTGCGTTAGCGTAGAATAGAAAAGACAAGGACCAAAAAAAAAAAAAAAAGTCAGTCATTCCCTACATAATGCTTTTCTCATAATTTTTATTAAGAAAAATAAAACATAAAAACTACCCACAGCAAACACTAACAGAGGATTATGAAAATGAAGAGCGTCCTTTTTGAGACTGAAATTATAAGGTTAATTGCAATGACTGGCAACCAAATTCACAATAGTCAACAAGAAACACCTAAAACAACAAAGTTTCAAATGAATGGGTAGAGGAAGAAAAAATCTAAAAAAAATTAGTCAACGATAAGAAATAAAAATCTCACCTTATCTTCACCATCCCCAGCGAAAGAGGCACCATCACAATAACGAATCTTCACTCTGTTCCAGTTGTAAAAATCTGCAATCACAAGGATCTAAAACATGACTGAACCAGGTAAGTGTGCTCAGAAATGATATTGTGGAAAAGCATAAAGCAGACAAGAATGAGAGGAGAAGCAAAGTACAAAATGTGCTATGTTCATTACTTCAGAATAAGAGAGTATATATACAAAACGGGCTATACTGATAAAAACAGGATTATTCTAGAATAATTACAATGAATGAAATAATAAATAGGGAAATTTGGTCGACATTTATGATGGGAGAACCACCCCCAAATGATACAAATCATATCAATTCATAATTATAGTTAACAATGACCAAGACTGCTATAGCCTATAAAGAAAGGGAAAGAGAAAAGCGGCATTCGATTAGTCCGGGCAGGTACATCAATAGACTAAAAACCTGGATTTTGAGCAGCATCATTGCTTAGTATTCCTGTGAAAGGAATCTCCTTCTCCATGAAATGCGATGACCCCCTACGTGTTTTCTTGCGGTAAACACATGTTCTAACATTATTACACCACCCACCTCCCTGCCACACGATTTCACTTGAGTATCAAAGATAAGTTTTTCACAGCATATCTGGTGTAGCTTGATCAAGAAACGATGATTTACAAAGAACTTATCACACTGTGAGAGACGCAAACTTCAGTTATGATTGTTTGTAGTCCTATGCTATAACAGAGATCTGATCCAACAACACTTTCGAAGGAAAAAGATTGTCAATCTTACTATGTTGTTCTTTGATTTTCCAAGAAGTGCCATCATGCATTTTTATTAATTTGCAATACTATTAAAACCAATAAAATGTAATGCGTTATAAAACATTTAGAAAGATAAAGTGGAATGAAACCTCTAAATTAACAAGCCAGCTGTTTGCCCCTGATCCATATCCTTTATCCAAATGATAACCAGGTAATGACCCATCCAAGCAGACTGCCAGAGCAGAAGAAACAAAGAACAAATATTCACGTTATAGTTTCTTTTTTTTTGTGGAAAAAAAAGAGGCTTCTGGGGCGATATTACCATGGCATACATCAGATTCTTTTTCGTACGGTAATTCATATGTTTAGTTAATTAATAAGTAATGAACATATACAGGATTAACATAGCCCTGAAGGTCGGATTCTGAAGTGGAGTCAGCTGAGAGCAAATGAGAACCGGAAGGACGGACAAGGAATGAGATGAAAGGGGAAGACGAAATAGAAGTAGCGGAAGTAAAATAAAATCACAAATTGGTCGAATCAATCAACGTAACTCTCTCACGGACAGATTACTAACAAGAATAACAAATTTGCGTCAAGCATGCAACACATACACAATACGAAATGTCGGCGCAATAACAAAAAAATAAACCTTCAGGAACATAGACTAAGAAGCAATAAATAACATGAAGCCTATTCTAAGCAAGAAAACTATCAATTATCAATTAATATTAAAAGGTGAGCAATGTTCGAAATCTTCAATAGCGGGCACAGGACGACAAAGATATTTGAATCTGATTCCAATAAAGCGAAGCTTGGGAATACACTGTACCTGCTCCTCTAGCGCCAGCATTTTGAATAAGGGTAAGTCCTACGAGCAGAGGTCTGCCCCCGATGAAGGATGCTTCACGGGACTCCAACAAAGACAGCTCTGTTTCATTGAAGTGGTAGTCTACAGAACCATCGACCCACTGGCTAAAAGCGAGTCCTACTACAATGCCAAGCCACAGAAGGTTCACCATTTGCTCTTTTCTGCTGAAGTAGCTCCGCCACCTTATATCTGGGAAGCGAAAAACACAGTCCGTATTTATAGGAAGCCACTGGCCTTTGGGTTGGGAACGCACGACCTAAGCAGCCATTTCGTTTTTTAACGATTATTCGTCAACCTTCGTAAATTTTGGAGCAAATTGGTGAAGAGAGAATGGGACATCTAGATTGAGGGAAATAGGGGGAAGTGTCTGCCCGCCTGCTTTGTTACGCCGACGGAGCACTGTTTGAGTCCAATAGAAAGCAGCATTGGTTAAAGGCAAATGACACTGGATAATTTTACGGAAGTAATTAATTAAAAATAGAACCAACATTCTTAGCTCACCTTGAAACAAATCTTATGAACTAAAATTTCTCTGCTCAGTCTGATAATAGAATATAATATATTGATATTTATATCATATATATTATCCAAATTTTATTTTTAAAAATACTGATGTTGCAAATTTGACTCACACGTAAGTAACTAGTACTACTTCCAGTCCTAATTATAAGATTTTATTTATAGTTTATAAACGAGGTCCGATAATTAGAACTGGAAATAGTACTCTAATAGTGTTGCATTTACGTGTTTTGATGATTTATAACATAAATTGTATTTTGAAAAATGGCGAGTCTCACTGATAAATGCTTTCTTTCTTTCTTTTAATTTTTTTGGGCTGCGATGGACTTATAAGTGTTCTTTCGTGGTAATGCGTGGTAATTTAATATATTATCGACCTATAATCTTTTTTGGCCATAAAACCTATAATCTCAATCTAGACGGGGTTGGAGAAATTTATATATCATTGGCTAATAAATTAATAATAACATTAGATTTCACTTTCATCCTATTTTTAGGCCGAATAGATTTCACTTTCATCTATTTGGGAGATTAGTTGCGTAGGAAAAAAATTTGACAACCAGTGTCTTTTAGTATTTAAATCAAGAAATTAAATCATTTATGTTAACAAAACAGCCAAGAGGCTACCGATGGGCGGCCCCTCAAATATCAATCTTCTTTAAATTAAATAATTAACAACTGCAGTTCACTTTGGTTTCTCCGACTCGCCTATCACCGATCAGTGATCACTCGTATTCTGTAATCACTTTCTGTCTTATTTTAGACTCAGGGTGTGTTTGGATGAAACCAAACCGTGGTTTGAAAAAGTGATTCTGGAGAATAGATTCTGGAAAAAATAGATTCTGTGAAGAATAGATTTTGTAAAAAAGTGATTCTGAGAAGTGAGAGTGTTTGGATAGTTGTTATCAGAAGCACTTTTTATATATACAAATTACTAAAAAAAAGACATAAGTTAATATGATAATTACAGAAAAAATAGATTTTATGATATATTTTAATTTGAAGAAATAAAATTGTTAATAATATGTTTTTTACCAACATAATTAATAATACATAAGATAATATAATTAATAAATAATTAATGTCTATATATATTTATAAAATATAAGATTAAATATATTTATAAAAAAATATGTTTATAAAAAAAATAACAAGATACATATCATATAGGCCCTCACACTCTCCCTTTTTTCTCCAAAAGCAAAAAAATTTTGCTTTTTCCAAAACCATGGTTTTGGAGTCAAAACCATGGTTTTGACCCAAAACCATGGTTTTGGTTTTTGGAGAGGCTGTTTGGGTAGCATTTTCCCCAAACCATGGTTTGAGTCCCCAAACCATGGTTTGGGGTGTTATCCAAACAGAGCCATTCTCCCTTCTCTTTGAAGTCCATCCCCAGACCAAATTTGTGATCCAGAATTGTTACGATAATTAATGTAATTTGTTTACCCTCATTCCTATTAAATATAGGAGCGATGCTATGAATGTGAGGTAATAAAAATATACCATTGAAAGACAATTTTATCATTTTTTATGACTAAACTTTCATTTATCGATACTTAAAAAAAGTTAACTAATTCAATTACCACAATAGATAAATAAATAAATAAATAAGACTCTTTCATTTGTTGATCCTGCCTTGTAATAAGAACAAAGAAGTGAAAAACACGCCAGGCTTGACTTCAGTTGATCCAGTCCAAACCACACAGTAAAGAAATAGGCGCCGCACACATACCCTTGTGTTATAAATTTGCCCGGCTCTTGTAGATATCGACAGCGATAATGCAATTTATTATAATTAGAATATGGATAGACAATGAAGAAATTAAAGGGTGACCCTCCAGGCTGAGCCTGTTGAAATAAATTAATGTTGCTTCCAGAGCAGTTAATAATTGCACTGTGCAAGTTAATGGGGTCAGATATAATTTATTGGGGGATCACACTAATTCAAGGACTGCTCCATGTCTCCAGAGAATCAGCGTATAAAAACGTTCCAGTTGACGAAATATCTTGAAAATAATATATAAATATGATGGGATTAGGATAACAAGTCTCAAAACCAAAGAAGGGTGGGCGTCCAGTTGGGGCGTAGGAATTGAGTGAACAAGAAGATCAGATTATGAGGAGCGGCCAACTCGGATTTGGAATTGGAATGATGAAAACCAACAAAACGAGCCGTGCGGTGACCGCGTACGTGGCATGGACGCAACTTATCCAGTCGAACTCCTTCCTCACTCAAACCCACATACGGTGCAGTCCTCCTCCTTCGCTTTCGCTTGGTCTGGCCCCTCCCCTGCTCCGAAACCCAGGACTCTGCCAAGCCACTAAATAATTAATTGGTTAGTTAATTAAGCATAACGGAAGTGGGGCATTCTTCTCATCTTCCATTGGGTGGCCCGGCCACAATAGGCACAGGTTGGTGAAGCGAAGGCGCATGTGATGTCCCTGTCCCCTAATCACACCATCCCTCACTTTCCAGCCATTATTTTACTCATTATTTCTTATTTGTTCATTTTTCACATGTTCTGCGCTGTGCTAAAGCAAGACTGGTGGTTCTCAGATCCCATCACCCCCTGACTTTTAAACATAATAATCCCACGATGCCCTCAAATTATTTAATATCATATTCTCTGTTCACAACTGGATCACATCTCCTCGCAGGATACCACGCAGTAATGTGACTGGCTTTTACTTGGAATACACCCCGCTCCCCCTGCATGCGTCGGTGTGTTCCTTCCCATCTCTGCCTTTATAAAGAACCTTAAACCTGTCCCTGTCTGCATTTTACCTAGTGTTTCGTGCAAAATTTACTTCACTGTTGAGTATTGACTTTTAGAAATCTGAAAGTGCACTTTAATTCTAATTACCCAAAATTGTAATACTGCAGCCCAGTTCAAGTGGGCAAAGAATACACTTGGCTTCATATAACTCAAGCAACGTTGCGTGAGATTTGTGCCTCCCTCACCGGTCCTTATATATTAATTGATGGGCAAGAGTGGAGCTTCCTCAGTTGCGTTGTGTTCCAAACTAATCACTTCATTTCTCAACTACAACAGAGCTTACATATCAAAGGACACATTCGAATGAACCAGAACGAAATTTTGTTCCCCTATCGTAAATCTGGTTTTCAAAGGTTTGTCTCAAGCCCTCTCCTAGATAAGACAGCACCTCCCGTTCAATTAAAAAAAAAAAAGAAAAGAAAAAAGAAAACATTGTTCACATTGGTTGTTGCATGTGTGCTTTATACACACAATCACACACATATATATTTATATGATCGCAAGCTGGCACATGGAGGAGGGGTGGGATCTATCCTGTATTTTGTGACAACAAAGGCACGCATAGTACCACTAGGAAAAGGGACGCAGGGTATTTTAATATAATTTGAAGCGTGATAACTTTTGCTTATTTGTTTTTTCTACTTACTTCTGTGATCCTTAATATAAGACTCATTTAACTAATTTGATTATATTAAAAAAGTTAGATAAGTTAGTTAATTATAAGAAAAGTGATACATTTTTCCTAAAACACCATAATCACCTTTCTTAATACCCCATCTCCTTCTGCTACTTGATTATGGTTGGGAAAATATCCATATGGATAATTTAGAGAAAACTAATAAATATGAGAAATGAGTCTTATATTTAATACCAAAACCAACTTAAAAATTACATCCTATATTAAGGGCTGGAGGAGTATTTATTTTGCAAGCAAGATGCGTGTTGCAATGCAGGGCTTCGCACAGCTAACGTCTTCTTTTCACTTTATCAATGTTCTTTTTTAAACAGAAGTCTTCTCGTTAATCGGATTTTTAGTGAAATATAAATTCTACACATATTTACATTTTTCTACTTCTTAAGAAGGGGGGAAAAAAAAAAGCAGACTAAAGAAGAGGAAGCCAGATCGACAGAAGCAGAAAGGTGGAAATAAAATTTCTGTAGATGCACCGAACTGTTAGGCACCAACCATAACACGGTTTGGCATCTCTCTTTTATAAAGCAAGGAGCAACGGAATATGTTAAGAAACCACTTTCTCTCGCGTAAAAGCCAGTACTCCTCCTACCCCAGCAATAGCGAAAAGTCAAAAACCCTGTGCTGGTCTGAACTACTTTCCCAAGTCTCGTAGCCCAATTTATTGGGCCAATATCTGAAAGCCCGGGTCACATGTCGGACACTCTCGGTTAACTAGAATCTTCAACATTTGAGACGTGCAGCATCAAAAGAAAACTTTGAGATGTGTCAATATTGGGAAGAGGGAACAACGGAACATGGACATCCATCGCAGCCCTTTGGAGATAGATATTATTTGCAAAGTTATTATTTCAAACAAAAATATAAATCAAAATCTATTTTTTATATAATTATTATATTAATTTATTTTCTTTTTAGTAATTGTACTTAAAAAATAATTCTAATAATAATTATACATACACTCTCATTTTATCAAAATGATTTTTTTCCACAATATCTGTCTTTCCAAAATATATTTTTAAAATAACTTTATTATTATTATTTTAAATCATGGTTTGATTCCAAAATATATTCTTAAAATAACATCCCATAGTAGTAAAACAAGGACATGCTGACATAACATAAAACATCAGAAAAAATCTCACTCTTGTCCTCTAGACTTGTTACAATGCGCTTTGACCCCGAGGAAGTTAACAGATATATTTACTTTTGTCCCTCCAATTAATGTTCAAAATTCAAATATAATACTTCTCTTCCAATCTTTAATATAAGACTTAATTCTTAAGTTAGTTTTGGTCCTAAATATAAGACCCATTTTTTCATATTTATTATTTTTCTCTAAATTACCCCTATGGATACTCCTTCAACCATAATCAAGTAGAAGAGGGAGAGAGGGTATTAAAAAAAGATGATTATGGTATTTTAAGAAAAATGTGTCACTTTTCTTATAATTAACTAACTTACCTAACTTCCTTAATCTAATCAAATTAGTTAAATGGGTCTTATATTAAGAACCGGGGGAGTATTTCTTATCTAGTACTCCTCCAATCGTTAATATATGACCCAATTCTTGAGTTGGTTTTGTTTCTAAATATAAGACTTATTTCTCATATTTATCAATTTTCTCTAAATTACCCTTATGGATACCCCTCAACCATAATCAAGTAAAAGAGGGAGAGGAGGTATTAAGAAAGATGATTATAGTGTTTTAGGAAAAATGTGTCACTTTTCTTATAATTAACTAACTTACCTAACTTTTTTAACATAATCAAATTAGTTAAATGAATCTTATATTAAGGACTGGAGGAGTATCTAATATAAGAATTAGTGGATTAATTTGAATTGATTAAGAGAATCAGTTAAATTAATTATTTGTAACAAATAAAATTTTTTTTCTAAAACACCCTTACTAATCATATAATTAACTCAGACTATCATTTGACGAAACATTTAACGTGTATAATTACTATAAAGATATCTTGAAAAAAATGGATCATTACTAGAGACAGAAGAGATTGAGATCTTATATTTGTAACTAAATTAAATGTCAAGTTAGCTCTTATATTAAGTTACTTAAAATCAATCAACTCAGAAGTCACAAAAGAAAGGAATAGATAATGTTTATGCTTTTAATTAATTTTATATATGCAATTCATGCTTTAAGTGTAATTTTTTTATATTTTTTTTCATTTAATAGAGATAAAATTTAAAAAAAAAACAATTTAAGGCTGATTTAATAAGTTAATTAACATTTATTCGTTCTAAAGTAACACAAATAAGTTCATTTCACCGAGCACTTGTGTCACACTCTTTTCTTAATATTTAATGTTTTTTTTTTTCAAATCTACCTCAGATTATTTATTTTCTTTCTTTGTCATAATCCCTTAAATCACATTCCCCGCATATTCTTTTTTATTTAAAAACAAAAGTATATTTTAAAACTATTTAACCGTTGGTTATATCGTATTCCGTCCAGCCCACAAAAGTGCGCGGGAAGCAGTCCGTTCATTGGGAGCGGGAAGTAGTCCGTTCATCCCTGAAAAGGCTGTTCAATTTCTGCACTGATCAACGCTAACAGAATGGGCGTAAAGGTATATAATCTTCCATCATCGCATTTTCAAGCTGTGCAAGTTTCTGTCCATTCTGTTAGTTTAACTGATTGCCGTTTCGGTTGAGGGTTTTCTAGGGTTTAACGAAGCTTTTGGCGGATAATGCCCCTAAAGCTGTAAAAGTGCGTAGCTTCCAAAGCTATTTTGGCCGCAAGATTGCCATCGACGCTAGCATGAGCATTTACCAGTTCCTTGTCCGTACTCTCCAGTCTGCACTCTGCTTCCCTCTCATCACGATTGCTTGTGTCTATACAATTCGGAAAGGCTTTGTTTATCAATGAATCCTTTGATTCGATGCAGGTTGTCGTGGGAAGAAGTGGGACTGAGATGCTCACTAACGAGGCTGGTGAAGTAACTAGGTTAGATTCTTGAAAGCTCCTCTTCTGACTGAAATGAACCAGTTTCTTTATTTTGTTATCAGAGTGTTTATGTTGATATTTCGGCGGTTTTTTTGTAGTCATTTGCAAGGCATGTTTACCCGGACAGTCAGACTTCTAGAAGCTGGAATGGAGCCAGTGTGAATATTTCTTTACCTTTTTTCCTCGTAACCCTCAAGTATTCAATAAATTGTTTGTTCTCGCTCATTTTCTGTCACTCGATGCTACTCAGATATGTGTTTGATGGGAAGCCGCCTGATCTGAAGCAGCAGGAGCTGGCTAAACGGTACTGAGGTCAATGCTTTGGTATATCTAGAAAGTTATTTTTCTTGGGGGCGCAATATTGAATTGGGAGTCTGGCACTTTGCAATATATAAAATGTGGATTGCCTGGTAACGTGCTTTTTATGCTAATTTCTTAATAGTTACTCAAAGAGGGCTGAAGCTTATGAGGATTTGTCAGAGGCCATTGAGGTTTGTACATAATTTGTTATTGGATTTCCTCTGTTCCCTTTTGTGTTAATTTTTGAAGAGTATTTTATATCAATGAGTATTGAGTTTTGGGTAAATCGTCCAAGTGGACAATATGAGATTGTGTTTCGATTTTTAACGTGATGGTAGAAGAAGTTTACTTACTGTTGAACTTCAACAAGAGACAATGAATTTATTATTGATGAGCCAGTATAGGTAATTAAGTAATTTTCTTTTGGAAGAAATGCGTATAGAAGAAAATCCTAAAGAAAAATAACAGAGAAGCTGAGTTTAAATTTTTAAACGAGGTATCAAATTTAAATTAACCTAACTAAGGGAAGTTATTCTGTCTTATTAAAACTGGACGTGTATCACATGGATGCTTCTTGTCATTTCAGTCTGGCAACAGGGAAGACATTGAAAAATTCAGTAAACGGACTGTCAAGGTAGGCCATTGTTATTGCATTTTCTCGTTGACAAAGCCTATCATTTCCACAAGATTTGGTACTATATTCATTGTCATGTTTTAATGATCATCGTTTGTTATGCAAGAGGCTTCACTAATTATGAGCAATGAGTAGAGATGCAGAAGAATGCTTACCTGTTCCTTATTCCTGCAGGTGACGAAGCAGCATAGTGAAGGTTGTAAAAGACTTTTATCACTCATGGGAGTGCCTGTTATTGAGGTGACATTACCTTACCCCTGTATGGTATTGTTGGTTATTTTAGCATAATATGAGAGATTTGGTTCATGCAGGCGCCATCAGAAGCTGAAGCACAGTGTGCTGCACTTTGCAAATCTGGAAAGGCACGTATAACTTTATTTTTGTGAGCAAACTTAAAATCTTGAAGAAAAATATTGTTACTTTTTTGGAATCTGTTATGAACTTTTATATTTTAGGTTTATGCAGTGGCTTCTGAAGACATGGATTCGTTAACATTTGGAGCTCCTAGATTTCTTCGCCATCTAATGGTCCCTAGCTCAAAGAAAGTTCCAGTTATGGAATTCGAAGTTGCCAAGGTCACTGTTGCTTCCCCTTTTGTGGCTTGAAAGTTCATTGTTCTATGACTTCTAAAATATGTGATATTCACCGTTTTATCTGTTCTTTCTGAGATTTTTTCCAGATATTGGAGGAGCTAAATCTGACCATGGATCAGTTTATTGACTTGTGTATTCTTTCTGGGTGTGATTATTGTGGAAGCATTCGAGGTCCCCCAAACAATCCATTTGTGTTTTGAGACTAGAGGCCGATTTCCAATCTTTTTTATTCCATTTAAGCTTGTCATGCATATGCTTCTTACATATGACTGACGTGCTCTGCAGGTGTTGGTGGTAAGACTGCTTTGAAGCTCATTCACCAGTATAGCTGTATAGAGAACATATTGAAGAACATCAATAAAGAGAGGTTTTTGTTATTTTCCATTACAAATGTGTTTGCCTCTGTATTGTGTTCCTGTCTTGATTAGTGTCTAATTATCACATTAATTAAGTCAACTAAATCTGTTTGGTGATTGGCTACAATATCCAGTGAAGCCTTTCTGCAATCCCTGCTGATTAATATTGGATCAGTGCTGTTTCTGGTTACTAGAAAAACTTAGTGTAGCTTATAAAGACAATTCTGTTATCTTGGTGCTTCTTACTTTAAAATACATGATTATTGTTTATTGATATATACTTATGCTGTTGATAATTCATCCTTAGTAATGCATACAGTGCATTCTATCAGGTACCAGATACCTGATGATTGGCCATATCAGGAGGTTAGGCAGCTTTTTAAGGAACCAACTGTCTTAGCTGAAGAAAGGCAACTAGATCTTAAGTGGACTGCTCCCGATGAAGAAGTACTGACCACCCTTGTTGAAAACTTAAGAAACTAATTGCACTTCTATACAATCATTTATGTACACTTTTGTCCTGCGATGCATGTATAAGTTTTCATTATGGATGCTTATGGTTTTTGGTTGAGTTGTTTGGTCGGATAAGTAGATTCCTTTGTGCTGCCTTCAATACAGGGTTTAGTGACATTTCTGGTAAATGAGAACGGATTCAACAGAGAGAGGGTGACAAAGGTATGCAGCTTTTGACGTTATTGTTTCTTGCTCAGTGTGAGGAGGGCTCAAGGAGTTTTTATTGCTTCTCTACAGTATTCCTTATTTCTATCTCTAATTTTGTATACATGTTAGGCGATGGAAATAATTAAAGCTGCAAAGAACAAGTCGTCACAAGGCCAGTAAGTGAATTTTTATCCCAGTTTGAATTCCAATTTAATTTATTAAATTTTTATTTGAATGATTTATGTTTGGATATTTAAGATATTAATAAATTAAGAATATCTAAGATTAGAATTTTAATATGTAAACAGAATTTTCATTTTAATGTTTTTGTCATTTCTCTTCTATTGGGTCAATGACACCAAATTCCTCTCCCTGAGAACAGACCAGAATCTGTTTTTAAGCCAATGGCCAACTGCTCTACACCCATTAAACGGAAGGTATGTTTCCTCTTTAAGTTTATGATCTTTTATTTGCACAGGATTGTCGGAGAATATATAGATGTAAAATTTAGTTGTGGGCGTTTGTCCCAGGAAAAAAAAGGTAGTTGGGGAGGTATTACCACACAAGGCTCCGGGTTTAAAATTGTTATTTTGTTTTCTGTGGATGTTGATCTATCTGAGGATAAGCCAATGATTGTCATGAGGCACAGAGTAAGCATCATGAACTTGCTGATTTGTGTTTCATGATAAATATGCATTATATTATCTGCTTCTCCCTAACTTACTGTAAGGGGATGTCTTCCCTTCCACATGAGGAAGTAGTAATCCAGAAAGCAAAAGTTTTCTCCTATAACTGAAATCCTAATAGCCAATTTGCTACCTAATTGCTGGTTACTCTGAATGACAGGGGAGCAAATGCATGCTTAGATCCTTTAAACCAGCAACTAAGCGTAAGGTTTTATCCCCACAACTTTATAACTGGTCAAGGCCCATGGTTATCGGCAACCTGGGCATTGCCTCCGCGGATTTCAAGCTATCTGTCATGATGTAGAGGCGTCTGCTTTGGTTCCTCGAACTCAATAACTCGGGTGGCCCTCAAAGCCTTTGTGCTTTTTACACAAATTTATTTCTAGTAATCAATGGAAAAGTATTAATACAATAATTGAACCATGAACTAATTAACCAATTTTGCATTAGAATTCGCGTAACATCAAGCCTCGCTCCGATTTGGCTTGGCTGTGGTTGGTGCTTTCTTTTTTGGGGCGTAGAGGCTTGTGTATTGTTCACTGCCATTATAAAAGTGGATCGTGTTAGTGGACCTGAAATAATAAAACAATACTCCTATTTCTGAATTCCCAAGTTCTCCATATATGGGGAATGGGGATCCATCCCTTGACGAGGGCGTTATTTCCTCTTTTGACAGTGAACACCACTGAATGCTGCTAGACAAACTGCCAAACAGACCAAGGCCGGTGGTGGTGAAAAAGGGCTAGTTTCATGTTGCGAAAAATCTGATCCGGGGTATTTGCTTGTTGTTCGTGGTAAACATGTGCGTCATTCAGCTCTGATTTGTTCTATTTTATGATAATTTACAAGGGATTGCCGTTTTCATTCCTTGGTATTCTGCATGTGATGTAGTGTTGTGGATTTTTTTTTGTTGCCCTCGTGTTTGTTTTGCACAAATATGGCCGTGGATATTAGTTGGTATATTTTTCACGGCTGATCTGATGCCGTCTTACAGTGGTAATTCGAAATGCGTTTCCTAGGAAGGACAAAGGCGTGGCAACTAGGACCATCATTAACTTGTTATGCCCAGACGTCTGAAACCAACTTATTCGAGATGTTAAGGCGAACATAGCATTCGCAGGAATTTCAGGGTCATCAACGACAATAATGCGATTATACGGTATATTGCCGTGTACGCTGTGGCTAACGATTACTGTAGCTTTCGTGCCTTCCCCTGAGGTCTTAGGGCAGGTGGTGGATAGACTTCTTCGAAGCGAAAATGAAATACACCAACCCCATTTAAAACCAATCCACAGGGTTATACCGTAGAAGACACGAACTAGAATGAAAATAAGGAATACTTTTAGGTTACGCGGTTTGTCGAAACGAACACGGGGCGGTCAACAAGTTGGAGGAAGTTGGCATGATGCAATTGCAATGCCGAGTGAGCAGCGTTGGGTGGGAGAGACGACTAGACGCGCAAGCGACGCAATACATGGTCTAAGATGTAAACGGGCCCAGAATAGAGGAGGCTTCAGGGTCTGGGCTTTTGCCTTTGATGGCTTTTCTTTTGGTTCAAGAACTATGTTTCGTGGTTTCAATTCACGGCATTCCTTTCTCAGCTAGCAAGTCTCTGGCTGCCTTCTCCCTTTGACGATTGTTATATATTTACTATCCTCGCTGGTTCTTCCCAACCTGTGCAAGCAAATTCTCCCGTCCTTGGTCTCAATTCTGTTCCCCTCTTCTCTGTGAACCTGCAGACTTGAAAAGTCTGTCTGGCTTGTTGGCATTTTTCTTATAAAGCAGCTGAAATATGAAACTCGCAGTCTTCACGCAGCTCCTCATCACTCTCTCTCTGGTGTTAGCCACCGGCATTACAGCGGATCCCGACCTTCTTCAAGATCTCTGTGTTGCCAATCTTAGCTCCGGTATTACTTCTATTGCACTTCGATCTCCCTCCCTCCCTCTCTCGTTTAAAGCATTGCACGGAGTAATGGAGGTTACTAACTTTCTTAGTTTCTATGCCTTTAGGGAGATGAAGCTCAGAGAAGTACTCCTTTTTTTTTTTTTTTAAATAACCCATAGCCGAAATTTATCCTTTCTCAATGTCTTCCTTTCAAACACAACTCTGAAGCCTTTGACACGTATCATATGCATTCGCTACTTTCTCTTGAATAACAGTTTTGCAAAGTCCAGGGATTATTGCATATTTTCTGCCATGATTTGCGAAAAAGACACCAGAAACTTTGTTATTCAATAACATGATGGCAGCTTAAAATTTGCAATTCTAACTGTTAGACGTGAAAAACAGGGGTGAAAGTGAACGGGTTCGCCTGCAAAGACTCTTCAGAGGTAAATGCCATGGACTTCTTCTCCGACATCGCGGCCAAACGAAAAGCCACCAACAACACGTTTGGCTCAGTGGTAACAGGAGTCAATGTTCAAATAATTCCAGGACTCAACACTCTAGGCGTGTCCCTGTCTCGCATAGACTACGCCCCTGGTGGCCTCAACCCTCCCCACACCCACCCACGCGCCACCGAGATGGTGTTTGTGCTTGAGGGTCAACTAGACGTGGGCTTCATAACCACAGCCAATAAGCTCATATCAAAGAGCATTAAGAAGGGTGAGATATTTGTGTTCCCAAAAGGCTTAGTTCACTTCCAAAAGAACAATGGCAGGGTTCCTGCCTCTGTCATCGCAGCCTTCAACAGTCAATTGCCCGGAACACAGTCCATCGCCACCACCTTGTTCGCCGCCTCGCCGCCAGTTCCAGACCATGTATTGACCCAGACATTCCAGGTCGGTACCAAGATGGTCGACAAAATCAAGCGTAGACTCACGCCCAAGAAGTAGAAGTGGAAGCTGACGGGGGTGGTTGGTGATCTGTCTTTCTAATCTTTGTCACTTTGCAATTTTTTCTAGGTTGGAATTCACGAGTTTGAGCAATTCACAGTGCTTCTGTTGACTTGTTTTGTATGCCCTATTATTGTTTTCTGCAAAGAAATAATGCATTGAAAGGTGCCATCCCCACTTCATGTCTTTTCCACAGGCTAAGTTACAAAAAGAGATAAAAGGAGGACACTTAGAGCTTTGGAATTGGTATATCATGGTGGGTAAGGATAATCTTTTTTTTCATGGGAATATATTGACGCCTCCTTTCTGCTGGTAGATGGATCCCACCACGGCTTGCTAGGTGTCCAAAAGTAATTCGTTTTATTTACTTTCGCCTATTTTATTATCCGCTGTCTAAGCGCACATAATATTAATTTAAACCAAGGCTCCAATCTTTGCAGAGGTTTCGATATTTAATATTTGATAATATTTTAAATAGGATTACTTCTAATAAAAAGATAATTGTGTTTAAAAAAAAAAGCTTATTCTTTTAAAATAACAAAAGAAGTCATCTAAGTATGGGCCAATCTTGCTTGCATGCATAAACTAATGGAACAAGTTTTACTATTCATTACTTTGATGAGCATTCTAAGCTCCAAATCTGGACTGTTTATATTTAATTTGAATGGTCCAAATTTAAAATCTTTAATTAATTATTTTTAAATAAAAAACTAATTTCCTAAAAAATAATTAGATTATCTTTATTTTAGATTATATGCATATTAAAATAATTATTTTGAACAAATAAAAACAAAAAGAAATCAAATCCAAACCATCCAAATGAGATATGAATAATTCAGATATGATAAGTTTAGGATGCTCATCAAAGTGATAAACACCGAAAGTGGATCCTAAATTAATCCCTTCGAACAGCGGGACTTCAAATTACAAAATAAATTAATGCAGGAGTGTCGAATCAAATTTATATCTAACATTATTACATTTTAATGCATCCAGCATGGGCAAATGCAGAAGAATTTGGAAATTAATTCATATTTTAGTAGTCCAAAAACCAACTACTCCTCCGGTCCTTATTATAAGACCCAATTTAACTTTTTATTTGGTCTTAATTATAAGACCCAATCCATTTTGTCTCTTATATTTATGTATTTTTTTCCAAGATAATCCTTCTAATAATGATAGTTTTAGCCAATATACTTAATTAGCAAGGATATTTTAAGAATGACAACACTTATTTATTATAAATAACCAACTTAACTTATTTCCTTAATCTCCTCAAATAAGTCAATTGGGTCTTATAATTAGGACCGGAGGAGTATAATAATACTGCTGGTAATTAGAGGATATGATGGGAGGTTATTAACTCAACTCGTGCGACTGCAAAGACTTTAGGCTTATATAATACGCCGACTTTTATTTTATTATTATTAAAAAAAACTGCACCCACGTCACAGAAAGCAACAATGAATTGCAAGGGGTCCCAAATTCAGTTTATCGCGGAACAAAATGATCTCCGTCAAATGCTACGTACATAACCCACGTTAGTGTGATGATGATTAATGCCGCTCTACATTGTCCATTACAATAGACAGCACGGAGGCACGAAAGAAATTAGACATGCTCTGCAAAAGGAATGCATTTCCTGCACCATTCAGTTTGTGATGTACTACAATACACAGCAAGGAATCGTGGTGCAACAAAAAAAAAAAGAAAGGTTAGGCCCTCATTTGTGGGCCACGGCAAGTTCAACAGACAAGATGAAAGATGATTTCCCTTCTTTCCTTAGATAACGCACATCTCCATTCATGAGCTTTAGCAACTTTCTGCTGATGAGGAGGCTAATACCCTCCTCGGATTCATGTCCTTCACTTCCAAACATCTGGTTCAGTAATGCTTCTGTCACCCCACTACCAGCATGTGTTATGCTGTTTTACAGTCAAAATAAAACAGATGAGCCGTCAAATTCAGAATATATGTTATTGTGACAGCATTATTCTTTTATATGCACTTCATGCACAAGTGGACTACAAAGAGCCACCGAAAACTCACCAAAGTAAGTGTTTGTTTCAGGTGCTGAAATCCACTAACACTCTCATTTGGTTGTGTTTTTGTTGACTATATTGTACAGCCAATTATGAAATGGTATGTATTTAAGAATTTTTAGAATTTGGAGTGTCCGTCTGAGTCTAGAACCGGTATTTACCTGAGCTCCAAATTGGCAAGCTGGACAGATTTTCCTAACTGGTTCTTGGTTAGAGAGGCTGCCACAACAACCTGGCCCCCAGACGATGTAAAACTGATGGAAATAGATAAGAAATCAGCTACGATCTGCTGAAGTCTAAGACCATCACCATATAAGATTTCTGCCCCGATGCGATCTTCAACATCATTCACTATTCCGATACCCTTTGCATTGCTCTTCGTCATTACTTGACTAAAGGAGGCAACCAATACATCATGCAGAGTGAATTCAACCATCTCCAGATCCAAGTACCTTGTCAACACAAAGTAAAGGAAGGAGTGTGCTACGGTTATAGCAGATACCAAGAAATATTTGGGGAAAAGAAAAGTTGGCATCCAGATTGTAAAACTTATTTCAAGGATCTAACTGTCTGACATACTTTATCAGTCTGTCCTACCAAAGCAATATACAGAGACTACATAGTACATAGCCTTGTACGTCCTGAGTCTCAAAGAAAGAACACAGATACCAAGTGGAGAAAAGCTTATTCAGCTGGGGCAAAATCTAAATCAGAAACAGGCAATATGAGTAGCAATTAGAAAAGGGACTATGCTTTTACTGCAAGCATTAACTAGCTGCATGCATTAGATTTCAAAGTTTCAGGACATAAACTGAAAAACCTACTCACCATTCAGAAGTCCTACCCCTTCTTGTCTAGTTTGATAAGAGCATTTAAACAAAATCCAGTTTTTGATGGCAAAGACACTTGAATTTAGCATTTACGAAAAGATCACCAGCCACAATTTTTGACAGAATATTACAAGCACGAGAGGTAGGGAACTTCAAAGCCTCAGAAGGAACTTGATCAGAAAATGCCCTAACACCAAATAAAAGCAATAATAAAACAAAACAAAAACAAAAGAAAACAAAAATCACAGACAGACAAGAAAAAAGTTCACAGATATCATACCCATCAATGATGCTGTCAAGATCTGAGTCATCAAGGATTTTTCTCAGCTGGCGCTGGCACTGAGCACTAATGTGCAGAAGCTGTTTTTGTTCAGTTCCTAACTCAGTATCATCCAACATTTTACGGGAGAACATAATCCCGCATAAAGGATTCCAAATCTGCCTTTTCATGTAAGTTAAAGCTTCTAGTCTCTTCATGGCAGTTTTTTCAGAAAGGCGCTGAATATGTAGTGCTTGTTGCAGCTCTGGGCTTGCGAGTTGCAAGAAGCAGAAGACCCCAGTAATTGCTCCCTCTGAATCCAATTTCATGCTCACAGAAAGCAGGCATTCTACGTACTTGCCATTCCGAGCAAAGAAACCAAAAGCACCCTTCTCCGTTTCCAAACCAGTCATGGCTTTATTAAGTACAATACCAAAATTAACAAAAGCTTCTTGATTCTTGAGACGACAACAAGCCATATGGGTACCAAACACTTCTCCTAAAAGCATCTTATTCATCACCTCCTCTCGCTTCCATCCAGTTAACTTTGTCATAGCCAGATTCCATTCGCAACACCAGCCAAATTCATCTGTACCAAATATTGGGGGAATCAAAGGATTTGGGTTCTGTACAATTGCCTTGTAATCACCTTCAATTCGAGTGAATTTGTCCATAACAGTCTTCTGAGCAGTTATATCTTGAGCCACAAAACAAACCCCAACAACATTATCTTGAAGATCCCTACTTGCACAGGCATTAACTACTAAGCTGACAGGAGTAAAGTCAGCCTTAGACCCATGTGCCTTGATCTCAAATTGAACATTCTGCTCTTCTTCACCTAATTGCATCATAACAAAACAAATTAATAACTCAAAAAATACGGAAACAGGTGAAACAAAGCAAAACCACACAACGTCTTGAATGTTACATTTTCTCTCAAGTCTCGTTAAGTGTGGGGGGGAGAAAATCTTTGAATTTGAGAGCACAACTTATTTTTCTTCTCTTATTTCTTCATCAATACAATAGTTGTGGAAGAAATTAGGGAGGATGATATGTCCACAACTCATAAAATGCATGTTTAGATAGTTCAAAGGATTAGAAATTTACCCTTAACTATGTTTGGCTGCTTTGAAACCTCCGTTTCACAAACTAAAACTGTCTTTTAAATCCCCGTTCTTTAACGTCACTCAGAGATGGATTTGCAAACTTCAATTTTGAAAACTTAAATTTTCAAATGATTTCAAAGCACAGCCTAAGTGTTCTCTCGGTAGCCGTAAGACATCATTAAGAAAGGAAAGAACTTTAATGATTATAAACTCTCTCTTTTTTGGGTTGGGGGGAGCACATACCTTGCAGTGCCATGGCAAGCATCTTCTTGACTCTGTCAATTGAAGAATCTTCAATAAGTGTGAGCAAATGCTGTCCAATAGCTTCATCGACTGGAAGACCCGTCAACTCAGCAATTTTTGTATTCCACCCATTGACCAGCCCATCAACATCAACCGCCAAAATTGGTACTGTTGCTGTTTCGATTAACCGAACCATCTCACTTGTCACTACTTCCAGTTCTTTCATACCTTTAATTTTCAAAACACTTAGTCTTGTATTAATTGCATTTGTGCTCGTGTCCATAATCTGTGTCTCTTTGAATGTATTTCTCAATATGAGCTGCAAGGAGTGGATAGCATCTATTTCATAGTCTTTCCATGGCAAACTTCTTGATTTCACCACTTCAAGGAATGCCTTGAATGATGATCTTGGATGCATCCTTCTACCATCATCCTCTTCACCGGGTTGATGCTTTGCACCACCCCATCGGATTTCTGCAGCAGCATGTGACCGAAACCATAAAACCATGTCTTTGGAGTTTATTCTCACCGCTGCCACTCCACATACCATATCACCAAGAGCAGCAGCCCCAGGGAAACCTGCATCAGACAAGCTATCTGTATTAAAACCAGTGGAATCCTTATGACACTCTGACAGCCATAAAGCTATCTCTCGTATCTGGGATTCACTTGGCGTTACTCCTAATCTCCATACCTTGCCATTATACAAGAGGCAAGCCCCATCACATTTTACGAGATCCATTATATTTGGGCTCTGTGATATAATACCTAGGGGTTCATCACGCATCAGCATATCACACAGGAAACCCTGGGTTCGCAGGATGTTCTTCTCAATAATCTGATATTCCAACTCTAATTCTTTGTTAACGTGGATAGCAAATACTTGAGCCAGGAACTCACAAGCATACCTAAGAGGAAAAGGAACAAACCGGGGGGTATAGTTATGGCAAACTACTAAGCCCCAGAGTCTCCTTCTCTTCTGTGGCTGTACAGAATCGGAGCTATCACCATCTTCATCTCTGTCATTGACCACAACTGCCATAACCAGGGAGGCAATTAGATCCATGTTCTGCATATATTGCACATGGCAACTATGAGGAGCCCTCAAGGTTGAACCACAGAAGGTTAAATCATATGGAAGGTTTTCATCTTGAAGCACCTTCACATGTTTTGCCCGACAATCAACAATCATACGAACCTTGTTCTTCATGAATAAAAAGCGTGTAGCTTGTGGAACATCAGTGGCTGGATAATGCAAACCCAGATATGACTGTAAGCCTGGCTTTTTGACCTCAGCTACCACTTCTCCATGATCGTCTTCATGAAATTTATACACCATCACCCTGTCATAACCAGTGAGTTCAAAAACCTCATGAGCCATTACATCACAGAGCCTTTCCATGCTCCCACTAGGCAATGCTTGTAATCGGGTAATTGCTCTGGAGGCAAGCTTGTAAGATTGGAGGGCACCTGCTGCAGTCATGGGAACTTCATAAGGCTTGACAGGCTCAAAGTCAATGACCATGCTACCAGTGACACGATGGACAATTGCATAAAAAGGCTTCCCAGAAGTCTTGCAATGGACAAGGATGGGGTTAAGAAGTGAAACCTCGCCAAATCCTATTGCCTTCTGCAAGGCAGAGGCACTTTGGCCAGTGAAAATGCTTCTAATGTCAGTTCCCATTGCAAGAGCAGGGTGGTCACCAACATTTGGCACAGCTTGACTAACCATGGTAAGCATTTCAGGTGCATTCTCACTGTAGGCAATGACCTTGCATGTTTTGTCATCTAGGGCTAGCAAGCAGCCAAAAGGCTGGATCAGGAGGCCTTTCTGTACGTGATGGAGGTAAGCTGTCGTTACTCTGTCCGAACTTGACTGATGCTCTCCAGCACTAAGGGTACCTGAAACACGCACTGAACTGGAGTAGTCAAAGGAGCTACCAGACTCAAAATCTGCATGAAGTTTTGCGTCCACAGGGGTCTGAGCAATAATCCTAGCACTATGTCTTGATCTTACTGAATTGCTGGTCGATTGGCTACGCCTTGAGGAAGACATTTTCCCGTGAACTGCACCCAGAAAAGAGAGAGATAGATGAAAGAATTGTACGCCAACGTGGATCACAACAAGAACCTTTTTTCGATGAAGGGGGGAACCTTTTCTGGTATAGAACCATTACTGACTCATTAAGATTTAGGATGCCTAACTTTGTTATTCTGGTCGGTGCAGCAGTTTTAAGGACAGGAATGATCTTTTGAAACTTGGAATGATTTGAAACATCAGTAAGTATCGATAATCCAACACAGAGCCGAATCATAAAAAGCCATCTTTTTTCATTTCTTAAGTAAATAAAACACGCCTATTTCTGCAATCGGTAGATAATAAAATATTCTCAATGGGCCCTATTATTATAGTAAGCGAGTAGTACATTCCGAATAAGGATGAGAAACTTCCCACATGTTCGTAAAGAGCTTATAAAAAATATTTTTTTTTTTAAAAAAATCCTATAGCAGAGGAATTTACTCAGTTCTCAAGAACAGTCGTGGGCCTTTAAACTCTTTAAAAATATTAAATAATGATGGGACAGAACAAGACGGAAAGAACTTCAGTGGTACGGAAAATAACAATTCCTAAAAGCAGTTCGTTCAAAGGACCCAAATCAATCAATCACGGGGGAGGCTGATGCATACTGCAGAAATCATGGGTGATAACATAGCCACCCAAAGTCGAGAAAGTGAAGAGAGCAAACGCAGAATGACTGACCTCGATGAGCTTCAAGGAGCAAAACCTGGCACCAATTCACACCTGCCTCACCAGTGACGACCTGAACTTAAACAGAAGATACGGATTAAGATTCCCAGCTGTTTCAGTGCCCATCAAGCTGAATACTGATCACCCTCGGAAGTAAACGCCACTGCTCCCAATTCGGCAATCAGTTGTCAGGAGAGAAATCAGCGGAATTTATTAATCAATATCACCTTGTGCCAATAATGATCTAAAGTTCTTAAACTGAGATATCTATATCAAGGAAAGAACACAGTGACGAGGCCGCAAAGCAAAACAAGTATGCCGTCGAATTGGGTGGCTTTGATTTCTAAAGCTGCCAATGGGGCCGCTTGATCCTTCCCCATATATATCAACTCATAAAGCCTCCACACTACTGGCTTTTGCTTCTTCACCTGCTTCCCACACTCTCTTAGATTCCGTTGATTGATGTGTCGCTTCCTTATTCAGCAAAAATGTCCCAACAAATATTGAATTACTTACAATGCGTAAAAGTGAGATTACGTGGATGACACGGGATTAATTTGATCCCAATGGTAAAACCGAAAAAGCAAAGAGATAAAAAAAGAATCCGAATTTGGCTGTGGTCTATGATATCGATAACCCCCCCCCCCGGGTGGGTGTCACGTGTCGCCCTCAGAACAGCATCTGAATATCTGATCATCCGACTTATCCAGTTGTAATAAAGCGCCAAGATCATCGCCTAATGGGATGGGATTCAGAGAAATAGAAGTGGATCTATATTTTTTATAGAGAGAAAAAATTACAAATATAAGGATACGTACGAAATTTTTTCCCTCTAGATATACGCATGGATTATCTAATTTGACCAAACCACTCCTGGAATATTTGACAAGAAAATATCACGTAAATCAAGACAAATATTTGACAAAAAAACTTATCCATTTCCCCTTCTCTTCCTTTGTCGTCCATATTCCTCCCTCTTTGTTCCTTCTTTTACGGTTTTACCTCGAAAGGTTCATTGCTAGTATAATTATACCTAAAATATTTTCTCAAATATATCTAATACTACCTCCGATCCTTTTATAAGACCCTTTTGACTTTTTGTTTGGTCCTAATTATAAGACCCCAATCCATTTTGTCTCTCATATTTATACATTTTTTTTCCAAAATAATCCTTCTAATAGTGATAGTTCTAGCCAATGCACTTAATTAGCAAGGATATTTTAGGAATGACAACACTTACTTATTACAAATAACTAACTTAACTTACTTCCTTAATCTCCTCAAATAAGTCAACTGGGTCTTATAATTAGGACCGGAGGTAGTATCTTAAAGTATTTTGTAATATATTTAGTACTCTAAAATTTTTTTATGTGCGTTTAGTACTATAAAATTTTTTTTGTATATCAAACACTTCAAAATATTTTTTTTAGATATATCCAGCATCTAAAAATATTTTTTGGTATTTATCAGGTTGGACACACTTAAAAATATTTTGAGATGCTAAATACACCACAAAATATTTACAGTGTTAGATATACCTTAACCCATAATTATTTCATGATGGAGCCTGAGTGAATCACGAGCACACTGTTGGATTATCACTTGATATTTTTCGGCACCTCAGCGGAAACATCGGCATCGGCAAAACTAATCTTATGGGAACACTGTTTCATTCATTGATAGCATAATGGAACGTTCATGTTGGCTAGTGCTTGTCAATTTTGGTTGGTTTCAGGAGCTTTTAACTGATGCTTCAGAGATTGAATGTTTATAAATTAGGAAATGATGGTGTATAATTTATTTAGAAGGAGATGAGAAAAAGATAGATCTGACATAAATTATTTATTATGAATTTGTTTCTCATGCTAGTGTGCCGCTTATGATACTGTTAATGGTCGTAGCCAAATCTAGCGGAGTAAAAAAGCTTTAGGGATTCCTCTGTGGGAACCAAGAAAAAATAAAAAGCTTTTGAGACGAAGGACTGTAAAGCAGCGTCTGGCATAAATTCTATTTGGATGGGATAGGGCATATTTATCTTTGTGCTGCTGCAAGCTTTATCCCAGAATTGTAGTTATTGTGTAATTACTGCTTCATTTCATATAGGTCTGAAACAACCTTTCCCCCCGTATGCAGTACTAGCTTAACATTATTCTTCACACACGGTTTCATCGAACTGGTAGCCAACCAAAATATCAATAAGCAACATGCATGTGACATGAGTAGTTAGTACTAAGACAGGAAAAATCCACGTCCCTCTCAAGGGGAAGGAAACATCCTCCTGTCTGATGCAAAATCAACTATCAGCATGTGGTTGAGAATGACATGTGGGAGAGATCTGCCCTCTGGGATGATGTAGCAGAGATGTACAATTATAATAATACCAAAGTCTGACACTAAAAAAGACTTTACCAGGGAATCAGGGCAGGCCTTCCGGTTGAAGGCTCCAGGAAAACTCGGAACACTCCGGTTTTCATCAACCTCTTCCCCTCGGCACATTAATACACAAGTGCATCGATCGGCATCGATCTCAGGAAGCCTCAAGCCCCTCCCAGACACCATAACATTGGCTGACAGTATCATGGCCAGCAAGTAGCAACGCCGCAGCATAAACAAGGGCACGGTACTCAAACAAGCACCATAATGAACAGTATTTTGGGGAGCAATTCAACGCAAAGTATCTTTTTTTTTTTTAATTTTTTATCTGAAGCCTGTAAATCTGTGACCGTGCTTTGCGCGAACATTTACACAACTAATCAACATGGGGATTGGATTCTTTGGAATAGAAGTCATTCTTCTCTATAAGATTTCTGAAGTTTGAATCGTCGGGGTCACAAGTCGGATCAGACCCATCGAACGAGTCCATCATTCGAGGGCGGGGGCAAAACAAAAGTAGCATCGCGCACCACAACCACCACGAATCGTCTTACCTGAAGTTCTAATGGTATTCGCAGAAAGTGATGAAGCAGGGGGCCTTCTAATTCTGCTATTATGGAGCTTCATCTTAGCTTTGATGAAATGACGCATCACCACCTGCTTTCCCTTATTACCAACGTCCTTTCCAATCCCACCATGAATTCTGCTTCTTTCCAGCTGCATTGTCCCCGCTAGCAGCGTCATCGTCGCTATCTCCATAATAACTGCCGACATTTGAGATGCCCTTATCAGAAATAGACATTAAAGAGTTTTGCAGATATGGAAAACGGGAATTCAACTTCGATTCATTTAAAGAAATCGAGACAAAAAGGAAGGAAACAAGGGCAGGACTCCAAAATCAATATTTTTTCCGCAATCAATTGTTAAGAGCCCAGAAAGCTGAGATGCTCCGATGGAATCATGTTCCTCGTCCCGAGCACCTCACAACAGTAGTCGGCTTGTAGTAGTTTAATTAACAGTCAACGACACGTGTAAGATTTAGAGGACCCCCACGCGCCTTGTCCTTTGACAAAAAATATTGACTATGGTTTGGCCGAATGATTTGCCTTTTGTTTGTTTGTTTTTCGAGTGCGGATGAGGGTGGGGTGGCAAAAGCTCGATGTCGATGGTTTGCCGTGTTTTTTTTCTCAAATAAAATCTCATAAAAAAAAAATCACTACTTATTCAGAGTTAAACTAAACTGAAACAGTACTAGAAACAATACAAAACAAACACTAAAAAAAAAACAGTTTACAAAGCAAAATCAACCAACAGCTTCATGAGGTTGATTACACACAATCACTAAAAATCTAAACTTTCCAGCATCATGATGATGGGTTTATTCTGATGGAAATGGACCAGTCAATTAATTAGCCAATATGGAGGGCCAAAAAAAAAAAACAGACCATATGATGGTGGGTTTGTTTGTCAGAGTTTTACGGTGACATTAAATTAGATATTACCTCTCTGCCTTTTAATATAAGAATTCATTAATTTTTATTTTAACTATAAATCTAAGATCTTAATATATTTGTCTCTTATGTTTATCTATTTTTTTCAAAAGTAGTCCTTATAATAATGATAATTCTAACCAATAAACTTGATTAGTAAGAATAATTTAGGAAAGATAACTAATTACTATTACAAATAATTTAACTAGTTTCTTTAATTTATTCAAATTAGTCAACTAACTCTTATATTAAAATCGAAAATAATATCTCTCCTAATTTTTCTTTCAAGTGTCATGTTGCTCTCAAAAAATAGTACTCTCCTGATCCTAAATATATTATTTTATATTATAATGAGCTAGCCGATTAAATAATGAGCTCTTTCTTCTGGAAAAAATTCAGTTTGGCCGTGGGTCATCAACTCAAATCATTTAGATGTAAAAGATTCAATAACGTGATAGTGATAATGCCTCCATCTCCACGATTGAAATTTCTAATACAGTCCACCAGAAGCAGAGTAACTGAGGACGAGATTCTAGTTAAGCACAGCTTCTTCTTCTTTGAAATTGCGGAAACAAGAATAGGAACAACAAAATGTTAGTTATAGATTAGCATGACACTACTTTTCAGCGAACAAGAGAAGGATGAGCAAAAACAGGGAGACCCCACTGAGTGGGTAGAACAATGGCGGGACATATGATTTGCAGGTTCGTTCGGCTGACTATTCTGGTAGGCATCCAAGGCGAAGAAAACAGCTTCGCAGAAATCTTTGTTGATCGCCACATCCGAAGGCCTCTTACTCTTCCACACTCACTTCACTTCACCCATCGCCTTGTTGCCCTCCCCAACTTTTGATCTTCACCCGTTAGCTTTTCATACCCGCATTTCCTGCGTCTGCTCCTAAAGTAATGTAAACTCACATGCATCACTGATGGCTAACTGACAGAGAAGAAGGAAAAAGCTGGATTATGCAGAGCAAACTGCAGAAAATTAAAGCGAGGTAGTAAGAGAGACTTGAGTATGATGAGATGGAGATGTATTATAATTGATTCTTCTATATATACAACAAATGGCTGCCATCATGCATGAACCCGATCACTAAGCTCTGCATTGAGGCTGATAAAAGACAAGATTATAACCTTTTTTTTCAACTTTTAACACATGGCTGCGAATCACTCTTCATTGCCACTCCAAAGGCTATAATGTATTTTATTTTTGGTTCTAAGTTCCCAGTTAGATATATGAATCCAAATTAGTTGGTGAAAGAAGGAATAATAAGGGATGCATGTGCAATGATTGACCAACATGCTAAAGATACAAGTTAAAAACCAATCATTTGCTTCACTGTAGAATGTATGTGCTTGCGATCTTCAACTGCCTAGAGATATATTCTCATTGTCTTCATTTTCTTACACTGCCAACAAAATAAATGGCATGAAATCAAGGCCCATCAGCCGTTGTGTCCAATGTCCTTTTTAACACAAACAAGATACTACCTACTTCTTGTTTGCTCTTTTAAGTTCCTGTACTGTGTTAATTATTGTATTTCTTCTGACGGGGACTACAGGTATACAACATTCAATTACCTTACAGAATATCCCACGATTTAAAGCTCATGGCCCTAAGGCAGTAATGTTGTAATAGTCTTTTGACCAACAAACAAAATCAAAGT